GCCACCTTCCCTCTGTCCTTGGTCTTCCCTCAGTATGTTAGTTACCTATCCCCTCCCTCCTTTTTCCTCCCACCCCAATATAAATCTTTAACACCCCCCCCCCTTCGTCCTCCCCCCCTCCAAAAAAGGTGGCGTCGCACCGAATATGAATTCTCAGCTTATATATATGCTCCAAGCACGTGTGCTGTTTCATTCAGACGCTGTCGCCTCGACAGACCTGGTTTCACCTGAGGACGGCTGCTTGCGTTGTGGCCGAAACGTCGTGAGAATTATTTTTATTATGTTTTATTTTTATTATTTTATTACTTCCCTTCTACGTGACTTTACTGAAAGAACCAAGAAGATGAATCCCTGCAGTCACGAAAGCTTTAAATCGAAATTTAACGATGAAGCATTTTTTTATTTTAGCAGGGAAGGCCCACCGAGATATACGTAGCTTTTTTCAGAAGCAACCAAGGCTATCACAAATGATAGATCAACAAAGTGGCTCGTCAAGTGGAAATTTATAGCAGCCAAACTCTAAAACACACGTCATTTCTAAATGTGGAGGGAAAACCCGCAGAAACCGGAGAAAAATCCACGTGACCACAGGGGGAGAGACACCGCAAAACTCCAAATATACAGCAGGCGTCAAGGGTCAGGATCGAATCCTCGACCTCCTGCATATCAGGCGAGGTAGTTAACATCTCCTATCCACCGTGGCGCAGTGCCACGCGACCACGCGGTGGGAGCAAGCGAGCGACCCCGCAACCGTTGACTCGTGAGCGCACGGTGCATGCATCGAGCCGATGTCTTCCTCTTCGCACGACTAAAGTTGATGTAGAGCGACGGCTATAATTCTATACCCGAGGTGATCGAGCCAAAGCGATCGCATCACAGGGGTAGCGGAGTTGTCTCTTTCTTCCGTACGGCGCCAGGGAGGGGTACGGCAAGTGTTGAAACGCGTTAAATGCCGAGTAATCCAAGGAGGCGGGAGACGCTCTACGGATCGTGGTCTTCCCTGCCACAGGTCTCGGCGTGAGGCCACGGGTCTCAGGCGCGAGGCCACGGGTCTCGGCGCGAGGCCACGGGTCTCGGCGCGAGGCCACGGGTCTCGGCGCGAGGCCACGGGTCTCGGCGCGAGGCCACGGGTCTCGGCGCGAGGCCACGGGTCTCAGCGCGAGGCCACGGGTCTCGCGCGAGGCCACGGGTCTCAGCGCGAGGCCACGGGTCTCAGCGCGAGGCCACGGGTCTCAGCGCGAGGCCACGGGTCTCAGCGCGAGGCCACGGGTCTCAGCGCGAGGCCACGGGTCTCAGCGCGAGGCCACGGGTCTCAGCGCGAGGCCACGGGTCTCAGCGCGAGGCCACGGGTCTCAGCGCGAGGCCACGGGTCTCAGCGCGAGGTCACGGGTCTCAGCGTTAGGTCACGGGTCTCAGCGTTAGGTCACGGGTCTCAGCGTGAGGCCACGGGTCTCAGCGTGAGGCCACGGGTCTCAGCGTGAGGTCACGGGTCTCAGCGCGAGGTTACGGGTCTCAGCGTGAGGTCACGGGTCTCAGTGTGAGGTCACGGGTCTCAGTGTGATTTCTGCCTTCTTCATCTTCTTGGAACGGTTGATATTGATCGATAGCAACGGCTATGATTCTACGCCGAGGTGCTCGAGCCAAATAATTGCATCAAGGAACATCCCTCCCTCCCTCTCTTTCTCCCCTCCTCCTCCTCCGCGCACCAGGCGTCGAGACACGATGCGTTCCACGGCTCTGCCCCGGGTTGGCGACCACGGTCGCTGCGCACTGCCGGAGGGGTTTTCAATTCTCCATTTGCATGGAAAACATTTTTTAATGAGCACACGCGTGCGGGTGTGTGTGCACGCGAGCGAGTGCACCCAACCCGAATTCGGTTCACGGCACGGCTAACGTCCAGTGGCGAGCGATCTCCCCACTCTTCCCGGCTCCTGTCTTCACCGATGGGCACGCCATCGCCAGCGACGTCAGCGGTCCCTCTGGTTGCGAGGGTGACAATCCCTCCAGCAGGTGGTGGGGACTCAAGCGGAGCACCCCCCAACCACCCCCTCACGTTGGCGCTTCCCCAGCACGGTTTGACTGACAAGGCACGGCCTTCATCCAGCAGTGGATAAACAAATAGATGCATATTAACACTTAGTAGGTTTTCACGGTTATTTTTGAAGTTAGATCTCGTAAATATAAATGTTTCGTTAAACCCGCCACCACCCGACACAGCCAATATTTAAGGTGTGTCACGTAAACAAAATTACTTTCTGGTTCAATTCTAGCTGTCGCCCGATGAGGATGGTTGCTGTAATATCTGGCGAAACATCGTACTCAAATTATAAATGTTGTGGGTTTCCTCTCCAACACAGCCATGTGCTGTGTTGGAGAGTAAACCCACAACTAGTGACAAACCTCATTCATTGGGTATGTTGGGCAGTGGCGGGTTTAACGACCACATTTATATTTACGTTATCTAACCCAAAAACCTCCATTATGGAGATGAATATTGTTATTTAATGGGTTCACGTCATTCCCTGCAGCCACGCGGTGCGCGACCATTCACCAGAACGGAATTTGAAAGGAATTGATTCTCGAATAAAACAATGATGCAACAATTAATCAAATCGCTTGTGGGGGTGGTGTAGGGGTGACTCCAATCCCTCCCCCCCGTGTCACACACAATTAATTAAGTCACCGTTGTTCCGCTCACGGCCAGTGGTGATAAGAATCTAGCGGGGGTGGGGGGGCGGCTAGCCGGAAAAAACCTGGCACGGAGCACTGCACGACGGAACGGGGAGTCGGGCCGAGCACCCTGGGAGTTAGCGGGAGAGCTTGAGCGCAGTTGGAGAGTTGACAAGATCACCGCAGGGGTGTCAACTCCACGCACACTCGCCACACGTGCGCTCGTTCGCTCGTTACATAAACACACTCGGTCATGCGAACGCATGCAATCCGCTCGGAACGTCACTTAAGTACGCGAGCACATACGCAAGCATTTACACAAAAAACACACACACACTTTCCATATACAAGAGCACAAACACAGCCTTGTACACACACAGACCGTATACACAAGCACATACACAATCGTACACACACACAATCGTACACACACACAGACACACTCACCAAAAATACAAAGACCCCCGTATAAAACTCGATTCGAGGCTTTCGTGACTGCAGGAATTACTCTTTGGTTCTTTCAGTAGTCACGTAACTTTACCGAAAGAACCAAAGAGTAGTTACCCCCCGTGTAGCCTTAACAGACTGTTAGGGGAAGTGTTGTGAGCCAGCACCTATGAAGGCCGGCACAACACACGAGAAGGTGGGTGGCCAACACCACGCCCGGCCGCCTTTGTCTCCCCGGTGCTGATGTATAGGCACAGCTCAGCAGGTGCTCATTTAAGGCAGAGTAAAACTGGTGAAGACTCGCAACCAGTTCAGACAATCGTCACCGGTATCAGCCGTCCACGGGAACTGAACGCGGATCGTAAAGCGCAGCGGCGCTCACAAACGAATGTGCCGCACAGCAAACTGAAACAAGAGAGCCCCTCAGCCTTCAGGGTGCTGTGGTCAGGCCGGTTTGTGTAAACAGGACGACAGTCTCCAGGCGCACATAAACAATGATTATCTCCTGGAAAATAGTTTAGAGAGTGGATGTGATGTAGGGGAAGAACGGGGTGGTGTGGAGGGTCAGAGAGAGTGCAGAGCAGATAGGAGGGGCAGAGGGTAAACGTTGGGAGTGTGCTGGGGGGGGGGGGGGGCACAAGCAAGGAGGACACAAGGAAAGGGAAAGAGGGAGAGGAGGAGAGATGATGAGAAGAGTGCCAGGGTGGGAAAGTGAACAAGTCAAAGATAATCTGATATAGAAAGATGAGGGAGGGAGAGTCGTGCAGTGATGTAAAACTCGTGGGAAGTCCATTAAGATTCATTATCATCATCATTGGCCATGATCAATCCTCTCTTGGGTGAAGGCTTCTCCAAGCCACTGCCATCTCTTGCAATCAGGCGATGCGACAATCCACCCAGACCCTGCACCAGGGCGGATTCATCCCTCACTCTCTTCGGTGGGAGAGGGGCAGCAGTGAGCGGTGTATCATGGGAGATGGCAGCAGTGAGCGGTGCATCATGGGAGAGGGACCGTGTGAATGGCGGAGTGAGCAGTGCATTATGGGAGAGGGCCTGTGCGAGTGGCGGAGCAAGCGGTGCATCGTGGGAGAGGGCAGCAAATGAGTGGTGCATCATGGGAGCGAGTTCGTGTGAGCGGCTGAGTGAGCGTTCCTCCGTGGCGCAGAGCGTGACGCGACCGTTGCTGCTCCGCCGCCAGTCGAGGGGCATTCCAGTCATGCGACATCAGGGGTCTCGGACGCCCTCCACCCCCCTCACCACACACACCAGATCACACTCCCAGCATCGCTCTCCCGTGAAAGTTTCGACTTTTTTACCGCGAGGCTGTCCGGCACGACGTTCCAACGTTGTTTCGCTCTCCCAGCCCACGTGGGCGAAACGTCGAAACGAGCAACACGCCGGCACGACCCAGAAACACATCACAGCGCAATTGTTACCCCCCACGCACCCCCCCCCCCCCCCCCCCCACCGCTTTGCCCCCCTGCCTCCCCTTTGCTCGGCTGGCTTCAATTATAATTTAACACTTCATTAGGATCCAGGCCGTAATTGGCTCTTGAGCACAGCACAGGAGCGCACCGCCGGGCGGGTGTGGGGCAGCTGCCGCAACGCTCAAGACAACACCACAAAGCGCAGACCTCATCTGGCCTCTTGAACGAGTCTCTTCCACACGAGTCGAGTCCACACGTTACGCGGTGCACACATAACCCCCCCCCCATATCCCCCCCCTCTTCCACCCGCACAGCGCAGCTGCCGCCGCTCCTTTCCCGGTGCCTCCCTCTCCGTGGCACGCAAGCGAACGAGGGAGCGTACAGGGAGACGGAGGGAGGGAGGGGAGTCGAGGAGGGGCCGAGGGGTGGACGAGGGCAGGAAAGAGGCGACGTCACGTTGCGCGAGCATTTCCACAGAGTTACTGCGCTCACGGGGAACGGGCCGAGACGCACGCGGGACGCACGCCGCAAACAACGCAGCCGCCACCAACGCTCCGTAAGCCCCTGCTGCTGTCGCTGCCGCTGTTTTTGCTGTCATCGTTGTTTTGGTGGTGGTGGTGTTGCTGTTGTCAGTGTTATTCTGACGTCGCAAGCGGCCGAGAGGAAACTCGCAAAACTCGACCCGTAAGCCGGTACCGCATCTAACGGACGACGGGTACAGCAGATACGCACGCAGGTACGCACGCAGGTACGCACGCAGGTACGCACGCAGGTACGCACGCACGCCATACTTTCCGACCTCAGCCTACGAGAGGTAGGCTGAGCCCTTTAATTGCAAACCAGATTTGCAAAGCTGATTGAAACTGTTCGCAAAGTTTTTGATAGAAAAAAAATGTGATGTAATTTTTGCTTTGAAAATGCTCATTCGGTAACGGGGTTTATAGCCGGCAGCCCGTCGCTAAAAACCGGGAGAGGTCGCCACGTACGGCACGCGAGTACGCAGGTATGCATGCACGTACGCACAACCCTCCAGGTGCTACCAGTCCTGCCCACCCCCACACCGAGTGCTCCCACTTTGGGGACACCCCAGCAGCGAGGAGATAGCAGCGGCGGTTTCCCCGCATCACCCGAGGCGCTGGTGATTAAAACCGAGACGCAGAGAAACTGGAGAACGTTTTAATTGCCGTGTTTGGCGCCAGAGTGCAAAAACTCGTGTTTTGCCAATTAAAGTTGTCGTGGTTGAGCTCCGCTTGGTAGCAGTGCACCACCTTGTGTCGAACACGGTTCGGGAGAAAGTGATGTTACGGGAACAGATTCCCAAGTGGATTTCGGGGCGCGCCATTCGGGGGCGGGGGGCAACCCCGCAGTTTGTTTTGCGCGGTCAATGGCGATCGGGCCGAGAACGTCACACAAACCCGCCACGCTCGAGAACCCGGTTCAACCCTGATTGTGGCGGCACAAACCGAGATTCAAACAAAGAATCTCAACAGTGCCGGCGAGGTCAAAACTGTAAATTATTTTTTTTATTTTAACAGGTAAGGCCCACCGAGGGATATCGCTCTTTTTGAGAAGCAAACTGGCCACAAATGATAGCCAAATGAAGTGGCTTATCACGTGTACATTTACAGCTGCCAAATACTCTAAACGCGTGTTTCTAATTGTGGAGGGGAAAAAACGGAGGACACGGAGAAAAATCAACGTGACCACGGGGAGAGAGAGAGACACCGCAAACTACAAATGTACAGCAGGCATCAAGGGATCGGGATCGAACTCACGACCTCCCATCGAAAAACTAAAGTTGTTCGACGGGAGGGGGCGAGGGGCGCCGAGTAATCTCTGCGTGAGTTAAAGAATGCCGTGGTAAGAATCTTGCGGTAAGAGAATACTAACAAAACAGGGCTTTAGTGAAAGCCTGCAGATTTGCAACCTTTATCAGATTATGTGCCTTACAAATCTGGAGAAACAAGACCCCATTTATTCCGTTTGTTTCCCAGAACCCAGAGTTATATATGAACCCAACAGGGCACCACCAAACGCAAACACAACTGGAAATTACGGGAGGGACGAATAAACATCGCTGAAAATATTCGGCACCGACCGGACGATCCGCCCGCCGCACGACGCTAGCAGCTCCGCAGAGTTGTCGCGATGCCAATCGGTGCGCTGCAGTGAATGGTAGCGCCCCCAGTGGCTGCAGCATGGCTGACATTAACCCATTTGTTAACGGTAACAATTTACAGCCCCTTGCTAATCCGCTGCTGGCCAAAGGCCCCCCCCCCCCCCCCCATGCCGTTTTGGTCACGGGAGTTGTTTAACCATACTTCACCGCACCGGTCAGTGCAAATCGGTGATGCGGAGACTGGTGCCAGGACCGCTCCAGACGTCGCCCGCCGAACCGCCATTTGGCCGTGGCCGGGAATCGTACCGTCTCGCCTCGAGATGCTCAACATCATCGGCAAAAGCCACGTGGATTCCCAGGGCGCGACTGGGGCATTGCCGGCTCCACAACGCGGCGGGCACGAGCCAGCGCATGGGTCTCACAATTCAAACGGCGAGAAAAGTTCCAGAATTTTTTTATCTCGTTTAATTTGTTTGCAATGGAAATGCCGTGCCGGGTTTGAGCACGCAAATCCGCCCTCTTCCTGTTGGTCGCCGAGCGAGCGAGGGGGGGAGGCTCGGTGCTAAAGCCGTGCTAGTAGTGGTGGTGGGCTTGAAAAAAATATGCTCTCGCACCCCTCCAAAACCACCCCCACCCCACCAACCAGCCTATGCCTCCGAGCAAATCTCTCCGTCGCTAGCTCTCTCGCTCGACGCTCTCACGCAAACCTCCCCGGCTCAAGGCAAGTCCCGTCTTGAACGGCCCAGGCGCACGTTCGCGTCGGCTGCCAAAGATTACAACGGAGCTGCTCGTGAGCGCTAGCGCTGCTGAAGGGCCGGAACAACAGGGCGGGGGGGGGGATAACACAAACAGCGCAGAGAGAGTGGGGACAGACAGGGGAAATGCCACGGAATACACAAGCACGGAGAGAATAGAGGCTACACCCGAATTTGAACACCAAACAAAGGAGGAACACAGATACCCGGCTAGACCCACAGCATACCGTTGGGGGTCTGAGTCCTGTTAAGTGCGCGCATATTAAGGAACGGAGAAGATGCGCAGCTGTCCGTTGCCTTACGACGTTTTTAATGCACCGAGATGCTCATCATGTTAAGGCTGATTCTACCCGAAAGAGGCCAAAATCCAGTTCAGATATTTGCCATCGGTTTTTGGAATCACCGGGATTCATAGCGCAGTATGAGAGAACCACTCCACCACTGCTCCACTTACACACACCCACTCTCATACACAGATCCCCCCCCACAGCCTGAACCGACTGTTGGGGCAAGTGCTGTTAGCGAGCACCTATGAAGGCCGGCATGGCACACGAAGGGGGCGAGTGGCCAGCATCACGCCCGGCCACCTCCGTCTCCCCAGTGGCGATGTTTACACACCACACTAGGTACTCATCAAAGGCTAGGGGAGGCCCAGTCGATCTGGGAGGCCCAGGACTGGCTCAGAAATTAATCTCTGGTGTTGGTCGTGAGTGGGAATCGAACTCGGGCGGCCAGGTTTCGTAGTGCAGCACACATCCCCACTCACACACAGATATACCAACACACACACCAAGTTGTTGAGTGTGGTGAGCTAGAATCAGGGTCCCAGGGTAAGGTGAGTGGGGTGAGCAAGGTGAGAGAGGGGAGCGGGGTAAGTGAGATACACGGGGTGAGCGGAGTGAGCAGGGGAGTGGGGTTACCAAGGTGAGTTGGGTAAAACAAGGTAAGCGGGCTGAATGGGGTGAGCGGGGTGAACAGGGTGAGATGAGTGAGCTGAGTGAGCGGGGTGAGCGAGGTGAACTGGGTGAGCTGAGCAAGCGGGGTGAGTGGGGCGAGTGGGGTGAGCGGGGTGAGCGGGGTGAGGGGGGGTAAGCGGGGTGAGGCGGGGTGAGCGGGGTGAGCGGGGTGAGGGGGGGTGAGGGGGGGTGAGCGGGGTGAGGGGGGGGGGTTCAGGATTGCTGGGCAGGCTGCGGCAGGTAGAGGCAGACGCGTGCCGTGTCGCGCCTCTTGGCTCCAACACTCGGAACGCAACCACGCGGGAGCAGCGAGGACACACGCACGCATGCACAAAGACCCCCCGTGTAGCCTTAACAGACTGTTGGGGCAAGTGCTCTTAGCAAGTAGCATCTATGAAGGCCGGCATTGCACACAAGGTGGTGGGTGGCTAGCACCACCATGCCTGGCCGTCTTTGTCTCCCCAGTGGGGGATTGTTTACGCACCACACCTGGTACTCATTTGAGGCCGGGTCGACCTAGGGGGAGGGGGGCCCAGGACCGGTTAATTTAATCGTCACTGGTGTTGGCCATGAACAGGAATTGAACTCAAGCTTGCCGAGTTCGTAGCGCAGCACGCTAAAAGCTACAATACCGCTCGCCACATTCACATACATACGCGCACGCACAGACACGCACATCCACTCGCACCTCCCGGGAAATCCAATTAAAATAGCTCAGCAGCTTAATAATCGACTGCACAAATTACGCTCGCTCGCATCACACACGAATGGCTTTCCGGCCAGCGAGGTCGCTCATGCAGGGGGCACTCCGAGGGTGAGGGGGGGAGCGGGGGGTGGGGGGTTCGAGCCCCCCTCCCCCTGGCCCCTCCCCCCTACTCCAGCACCGCAGCATTCCATCTCCAGGAATGAAGCACCTGATAATAATGCAGCTGCTGCTTCCAAGTGCCATTGTGGTCGAGGCCGCTCGGATTGTGTCTCTCTCTCTCTCTGTGCGTCTCTCCAGTCACATCTCGCTATCCTGACATGGGAGATCCGCAGATTGTCGTCGACCGGACTAAGAGGAAAATAAAACAAAAATAAAACCAGATGACGATGCGAACTCACGGCTCCGCGCCGCCCTGCCGTGCCCCTCCCCTCCCTCAGCCCGTCGAGGACCTTCGCCCCCCCCAACATGGTTGCAGCGCGAGCGGGCCCCACGTGGCTGCTGACGGCCGCGTTCCTCCTCACCCTCGCGGCCACGGCGGCCATGAGCACCGGCGCGGGGCGGCAGCAGCAGCAGCAGCGCTGGAGCAGCCCGGCGGTGCCGCGCCGGCCGCGCCAGCCGCAATTCTTTCTGGATTTCGCGGCGGCGGACGAGGCCCTGGAACTCTCCGGGGACGGCACAGACTCGGGGTATCTGCCCGGGGGCTCGGGCTACCCTGGGATGCGTCCGACGGTGGGCCCCAAACCACCGGTGGTGCCCAAACCGCCGACCTCCCCCGTGGCGCCCCCTCAGCCCCCCTCCGTGGGGTGTCCCTTCGGTTGCCAGTGCAGCCTGCGTGTGGTGCAGTGCTCCGATCTCGGTGAGCGCGACGGCGTTCTTGTTCGCGCCCCCCCCGCCCCCTGTCGATGTCCTCGCCGCTCCTCATCCGCCTAATCGCTAGGCTTGCATTTTCCGAAAAACTTTCAATAAATCTTGATTTAAAGCTTTCGTGACTGCAGGAATTCATATTCTTTGGGTCTTTCGGTAAAGTCACGTAGATACGTTCAAAGAAAATAAAAAACTATGCCGTTTCGATCACAACACAAGCGGTCGTCATCAGGAAAAAAGTCTGACGGCCGCTTGTGTTACAATGGAAACGTCGTAATTTTTGGTTATTTTCTTGGAACCTATCAACGTGAAATTTACCAAAAGACCCAAAGAATACTTTCAATAAATGCGAGTGAGAAAAAAAGCTAATACGATGTTCCGCTCCGTGGGAAGTCGCTCTTCCTCTGATGCTGCTCCGACTGTCTGGAATTCCTTTTGTCCCGTCAACTACATCGCCTGGTATACAGGAGGTCGTGGGTTCAATCCCGGCCCTGATGCCTACTGTATATTTGGAGTTTATGTCTCACGCTCTCCTCGGTCGCGTGGATTTTTCTTCGGGTCCTCTGGTTTTTCTTTCCACATTTAGAATCAACATCATGTGTTAGAGTATTTGGCTGCTACAAAAATATCCACATAAGCTATCGTTGAGGCCAGGTTGCTTCTGAAAAAGATATATATACAGTTCAGTGGGCCTTACCTGGTAAAATAAAATTAGTTTAGTCTTTTTTTTAACTGCTGAGACCTTTCACCCCTGATTAAATTCAGACTCGACACCTTCCTCAACTCCTCCACCCCCCCAACCCCCTTGAACAACGACCTCTTTCTCGCCGACCCCAGGCCTCAAGTCGGTGCCGGCCGGCCTCCCGAAGGACGCGCGGATGGTCGACCTCCAGAGCAACAAGATCACAGAGATCAAGCAAGACGACTTCAAGGGCCTGGCCCAGCTGCACGTGAGCAGTAGCAGCAACAGAACAATCAGGATAATAATGACGACAACGATTTGATATTGAGGGCCAGAACTCCTTCACGCCGGGGAGTCTCACAGTGCAATTAAGCGATTTACATCTCACTGTCTCAGTTCAAACCATTTTGAATGGGTACCCACAAAGGCAGCTGTCCCCTGTGGGCACAAGGTAACTCAGCGGCTGGCTTGAGCACGGACATTAGTCCTGCCAGCAGGATGGGGGGGGGGGGATGATTGCTGTTGCATGTCATCTCAACAGATTCAGTCGCGGTGCAATTTTTAAGAAATGGCAAAAGGTTGGGAACCTTAACGTCCACCATGAAGTGGATGGCGGAGTAATTTTACGGTTAACATAGCGGCAGCAATGACCAGGGCGGCCTGCCGGATCGAAAATCGAACCTCTGCAACAAGTGGTGGGGGAGGAGGCGCACTCCCATTGGGCCACACATCACCGTGCCGAACACGTAAATATTTGTTCGGTTTCCTCCACGCCGATTCGCACGACGCAGCTTCGCGCTTCGTTCAGACTCGATCGTCCTTCGGTGAGTTAGCGCTCAGAGTATTTGGCTGCTATAAACTTCCACACGACGAGTCACTTTTGTTGAGCTATCAATTGGGGTCAGGTGGCTTTTGAAAAAGAGCTACACAGCTCAGTGGGCCTTACCTGGTCAAATAAAATTTGTTTAGTTTTAGTAATTTATTAATCCCCCCGCCGCTAGATGGGCGGCGCTAACGCACTCTCCCTTGCGACCCTGGCAGGCGCTGTTCCTGGTGAACAACCTCATAGCGAAGGTACACCCCAAGGCGTTTGCGCCCATGCTGAGCCTGGACAAGCTCTACATCTCCCACAACCGACTCACGGAGGTCCCCACGGGGCTACCGCCCTCGCTCATCGAGCTGCGGATCCACGAGAACTTAATCAAGCGCGTGCCCAAGGACACGTTCATCAACAACGGGCAGCTTCACGTCATCGGTGAGAGAGCGAGAGCATTGCAAGCGTGCGCGCAGTTCGCTCGGGATTCGCCGTCGATTTTCTGGGTTTGCCCGCGCAATGATCTGCGTCGAATCTGCGCCATTTAGGAACCCTGGCCCAACCAGCACGGCCAAAATAATGAATTGTCAAGCGTTTAACAACAGGCTGGTAATTATTATTAACTATTGTTGCCAGAGTGAGATGAATATCGCAAGTTGCATAACGATCCTCGCAATAAAATGTAGCAATTAGATACGCGACGTTCCACTTGAAACGAGGTCAACTGTATTAGGTAAAGATCGGGAGAGTCAGAGGAACGATGCAGGAAGTCAGACAAAACTCGATTCGCCGATGAGGTGAAACGATACTATCCGTCGCCTTGTTAAACGTTTGTGCGGCGTGACAGTTCATTAGATTAGCTGCGTTGAGTGGTGGAGGGTTCCTAATGACCGAAACCAGGGTTCGGCAACCTGCGGCTACGGAGTCCCATGTGGCTCTTTAGGGCTGCTATAATATAGGGTAAAAAGCACCGTCTGCGATAATGTGTAAGATGCGTACGCAGGCCGAACAAAGACTGAGGCGTGTTGGGAGCATCTAGAAGCATCCAGCATTACAACAAATTTACATCTGCGTTATAAAAAGAAAAAGTGTTCCCTTATACATTCATCATCGCGTTATATCCGCTTCGCATTATAAAAACAACTGCGCAGCGTTACCGAATTTAGAAAAAAATTATCTTTCTTGTTACTTTGGTTGCAGACCCCCGACCCAGATCATTACGCGGCCGAACCCCAACATCCAATTACGAATTGGAACATTGGCTGCGAGTGTACGTGTCAAGCGTTCAATTCGTCACCTCAAATGAGGTGGCCACATTGTGCGCCAGTGCCATGGTTCAAATTTTGCCAAGTCTGAAATACTCCCAAATTAGAGCAATGGGTTTACGCACGGCACCAATGATCGCCCCCCACACCCCCCCCCCACCCCAAACTTATGGCAGACTCATGCCCATTCACAGGCAGTGGCGAGACGTTAAATCCCTCGCCTGGTACGCAGGTCATGGGTTCGATCCCAACACTGACGCCTGCTGTATATTTGGAGTTTGCGTGTCTCTCTCCCTGTGGTCGCGTGGATTTTTCTCCGGGTCCACCAGTTTTTCCCCCCCACATTTACAATCAACATCACACGTGACAGAGTTTTAGCTGCTTTAAATGTTCCACATTGTAAGCCATTTCGTCGAGCTATAATTTGTGGCATTCTGAGAAAGAGCTTCGTGAGCTGAATGGGGCCTCACCTGGTAAAAAACAAATTTAGTACGGAGAGTTTAGTAAATCGTCATCAGCGGGTGGGCAAGCATCTTCTAAGTTGCCGTGTGATTCGTTCTCGCCTCCTGCACGCCAGAGCTGGGCAAGAACCCGCTGCCAAGCTCAGGCATCGAGGTGGGCGCTTTCAACGGCCTGGACAAGCTCACCTACATCCGCATCTCCTACTCCAAGCTCACACAGCTGCCCAAGGGTGAGCGGAGGCGCCGACAACGCCGCAGCACGGGCACAGCAGCGTTGGTTGTGGTCGTGTGGGTGAGGTGGGGTGGGGGGCGGTTGTGCGGGAGCGACAGACTGATGATAAAAACTTTGATGCATTCCTCAAAAAAACTTTACACGTTTCTTATTTGCACTTTGAGGCTTTTTCTCGGTATTTTTTTTGTTCCACATTCTTATCCACTGCTGGATGACAGCCTCGCTGCCTCCCAACGATCCCGGGAAACTTACGAACCACTTTTCACGGCGACTCGAGCTAAAACCATCGCTCCATTTGCGCGCTGAACCCACGCTTTTGTTTAACACACAGAGACAGAGAGCGGGCAGGGGGGGGCTGCGGGATAGAGGCAGGGTGAGCGGGGTAGGGTGGCTTGGCACGGCTCGCGGCTGCAAAGCCGACCCATGTGCTGCCGTGACGACACCGCCGCGGCACGCTCTGCCAGGAGGCCCCCGAAGTCAGACTCCAATCTGGTGCCCGGCGCGCCGAGGGGCTTTCCGCCGCGGGGCGACGCGCGGAGTCTGCCGATGGCGCCCCCCATGTGCATGGGCGTGGGCTAAAGGCCCGGTCTCCCGCACAAGAAAAAAATTATTTGTGCTCCGCAGGAGATACGAGGTGGCCCGGATGTCTCAGAGGTCAGAGCGCTGAGCGAGCACCGCCGAGCGCCTGTAATCAAATCTCGAGCTCAGCAAGTTGATGGTCTCAGCGGCAACAATTTCTGCACGAAAACCCCATCCCAGCAAAAGTTGATTTTGCACTCAATTTGGTCAAATTTCAGCTCTGAGAATGAAAACATCAGTTTGATTGTCATGGTGACGAACTATCAATCTCTGTGATAGAGCGGGGTGGGAGAGTACTGCCCCCTACTGTGTGGACCAGAGGTCACTTCAAGGGATCTCGTAGGTAGCTGCGTGGCATCCGAGCGAATTACGCATCTCGTGCTGCGAGGTCGACAGCGCAACCGGGACAAAGGTGGTGCAAGCTCTGCAACCGTCCGGAAGGGCTTGCACTGGGCCACATTGGTCTACTCTTCTTCTGTGCCCACAGAGCTGCCAAACTCCCTACTGGAGCTGCACCTGGAGGGAAATGAGATCGTTGCCATTGAGGATGAAGACCTCTTCGGGTACCCGTACCTCTTTCGGTGAGCGCCGTAGCATTTACATCACCACGTCCACGAGAAGCGCAGCCGAGCGCGCATCGTTAACACCGTCACCGTCATCACTTCCCACCCCCTCCATCCACCCTTCAAACTGCGTGCGTTCAATTTCCCACCACCATCGTCTCTGTTTAGCCATTCTGCATGCTACAAAGATGCCGTGATACAACCTGGGAGAGCCTCGCGGAGTCCCAAGAGGGTCCTGTTACATTGGGATTTATCACGTGTGTGTGTGTATGTGATTGCATTGCCTCTGTGTGTGCGTGCATGCATGAATCGGTCCTGGACACCCCTTGTGTCGACTCAGCCTCAAATCAAGTACCTGCTGCGGTGTGTAAAATATCACCACGAGGGAGACAAAAGCAACCGGGCATGGTGCTGGCCACCCACCACCTTGTTATACCATACCAGCGCCTTCAGAGTTTCTGACTAACAGCACTTGCCCCAAAAGTCTGTTAAGGATATACAAAGGATCGGTCTTTGTGCCTTATGTAAGTCGGGGCGAGCCGTGGCACAGAAGTTAGTGCACTGCGCTGTGAACCCTTGTGAACCGAATTCGATTTCCAATCAGAAGCCAACATCGGTGATGGATATCTGTGCGTGTACACCCGTGTACACCCGTGTACACCCGTGTACACCCGTGTACACCCGTGTACACCCGTGTGCGTGCATGTGCCGTGCGTGCACACCCGTGTAGACCCGTGTGGCGTGCGTGTGGCGTGCGTGTGGCGTGCGTGTGGCGTGCGTGTGGCGTGCGTGTGCAACTCAGACTGGGCTTGAGCTACAACAAGATCACAGAGGTGCAGAATGGCAGCCTCGCCGTGAGCGGCAACCTGCGCGAGCTTCACCTGGACAACAACCTCCTGGTCAGCGTGCCGCCGGGCCTGTCCAAGCTCCGCAGCCTCAACGTGCGTGCGCGCAACGCATCCACCACCACAAAGGCAGAACACACCACTAACAGATACAAATAAATTACACTACCAGCAAACAACACCGCCAACGCAACACAAACTGGCAACGCAAACCGGCAAACACACACTGCAAATTAAGAATAAACTACTAATGCAGCATAAACCAACAGGAAAGCATTCGACCACCAAAGCAATGAGCCACTCAATGTGTACACACACGCACTAAACCAGAAATGCAACACGCGCCAGATTCAGCACTCTCCAGTCGCTACTACAATTGCACCGCTCGATTCCTCCACCCGTGCCGAGGATTCGGTCACTCTCGTACCGTCTCGCGTCGGCTCAGCGCTCCGACACGGCCACTGTGAACCCCTTGAGCCACGGAGGGGACCCCACCTCCCTCACCTGGGCACCACGATGGCTAGTAGATGTTAACTACCTCGCCTGGTATACAGGAGGTCGTGGGTTCGAACCCGACCCTGACGATGCCTGCTGTATATTTGGAGTTTGCACGTCTCACTCTCCCCGTGGTCGTGTGGATTTTTCTCTGGGTCCTCCACACGTAGAATCAATATCAGGCGTTTAGAGTACTTGGCTGCGAAACATTTCTATGTGATGATAAGCCACTTCGTTGAGCTATCATTTGAAGCCAGGCCAGGCCAGGTCACTGAAAAAAAGCTACATAGCTCAGTGGGCCTTATCTGTTAAAATAAAAAAGTGTAATAACTAGTTATAGTTAGTTAGTTCCCCCGTGCCATGTGATCCGCACAGGTGGTCTACCTGCACAGCAACAAGATCAAGGAGGTGAAGCCCACCGACTTCTGCCCAACGGTGTTCAGCCCCAAGCGCGCCCAGTATGCCGGCATCTCGCTCTACGACAACCCCGTCAAGTACTGGGAGGTCCCACCCAGCGTCTTCCGCTGCGTCCACAACCACAACGCAATCCACTTTGGCAGCAATTACCGCAAATAGCCGCCGCGGTCTGCGCGGGCCGCATTTACACTCGCCGGGTTAGCCGGCAACCCAAGCGGACACTTGCACGGGGACAACTATACAGCCGGTTAGCCAGTCCCCGAGCCCGCCAGGTACACAGCCAACCAGTCTCGCAGCCAACCAAACAGACACTCACAAAGCCAGCTCGCCTGCTCGCTTGCTAACCAGCCAAAGAGACGTACAAAGCCAGCCAGCTAAACAGGCACTTGCATAGCTAGCCAGCCAGCCTGCTAACCCGCTAGAATGGAAGCCAGCCAGTCTGCTGGCTAACTAACCAGCTACACTTACACAGCCAGCCAGCACACGAGCCAGGCCACCAGCCAGCCAAAGAGACTGATAGAGGCAGCCAGCGAGCCAGCCCACGTGCACCACCCATGCCTGTCGAGCGCCGCGAGCACGAGCGCCCAAGTCGGCTAAATCGAAGCGTCTGTTTTGAAAGAAACAAAACAAAATCATTCCAATATTCGCTAACAGTCTTAGAAAGGCGGTGGTCACCGCATCGCGCGCTCTCAGATGCACTTCTGTGGCTGCCTGGAAGCCACTGGAGCCACGCACTTTTAAAATCTACATTTAAAACTCATTTCTTTATAACTGCTTTTTGTTTGTTGTCCTTCCCCCGCACTCTCCGATTAGCGTGGTCGGCTATGTACGGTGCGAAAGAAGTTCAACACAAACGTACAAAGTGATGTAAAGGGGAAGCGTAGCACTGGTTAACAGCCGTGCCTGCTAACGGCATCAACTCCCGGGTCAAGCTTCACACCGCACCGGTAAAGTCAACCATTAGCTTGCAGTCCCTCGGCCACTGTGTGCCAACGTCACCGTCCGCAGTGGAAACCTTGCCTGCCAAGTCACTGAATTGGGAAACGCACAGCGATCGTCACCCGCTTTGTTTGGTCCGAACACCCGGCAGGACCCTCGTGACACTCGGCGAGGCTTTCCTGGGATAAAGAGAATAACAATAAATCATAATATACTATGAGTAAATTTTCCTAAATGCTGCATGGTATTTAACATCTAACCAATTGGGCAAGCATTCGCTACACCCTTACATTTTAACGGCCGCGTTACTTTGAACTCCCCTACGAACACACGGTCCAACAAAAAAAACGAGGAGGGGGTGCAGTCTTGCAAACCCGAGAAAGCTTCTCCGCGAGAATCCTTTGCGAAGCACCGAACATTCTTCAAAGTCCAGAACACACTTTTCAAAATCTAATGCAAACCAAACAAATAGTGCCCCCCCCCCTCGTGGGGTCTCCCCCGAAGGTCACGTGACCGGCTCCATCCTCCTCCACGCGTGTGTCAAATATTTTTCCAACTCGCGATCTCAAAGCGGCGTGGCACCGTCGCTCTGCGTGGTGTACGCGCCGTTCCACGCCGACTTGAAATCGTCGTACATTAAAACAGGGTTCCGGTACTCGCGTCAGTCGCCGACAACGTTCCCGGACTCGCCGCGGACAACCGCCGTACGAAGGAAAAGAGCTCGATTATGGTGGAGCTCATATGGAGCGCAGCGCAGGCCCGGCTACCCTTGGCCTCCAAGTGAAGCGACCACCCCCCGCCACACCCCCCCCCCCCCCCCCAGCTGCACGCTCGCTGGAAACGCAACGATAAACTGATTCAAAGTAATATCGGTCCTCGCGCTCATGACACGCGCGCATGTACTCGCGTTAAACGCGAGCGTCAGAATCCATCGCGAACAAATTACGGAAACGATATGTGAAGAATGAGGATGCTGTGGCAATACGCTGATAGGGGGCAAATGGAGAGAACACAAAACAGCACAAAAAACCCCCAATGGGGCCCAAAGGAGGTGGACACACGAACGAGACGGTCGATATTAAAAAAAATAAGCGATTCACAAAAATAACTTAAACTGCAAAAAAAAGAACCATTTGCGGACATCGCCACCCCCCACCGCTCGCGGCAGACTCACGCCCACGTTTAGGCCGGCGATGCGTTCACCGTGTGCCGGCACAGAGAGAGCGGTCATCATCCCAGTCTCCCCCGCCCGCCCCCCAGGCTCAACAACAAAAACCACAACAGTGGGACATCGTAATGGTTGAGATGAGACGTGGTGAAAAATAAGAATAGGTTTTATCCCTTTTCTGGCAAACAGGGTAAAGCCTATTCTTATTTTTCATTGTTTTGGATAATGGCGAAAGGTGCCGGAGATATGGGATGCGGTGATGTGATGCGAGCGCATCCCGTATAGGCAAAACCCCTAAAATCCTTCCGAGTGAGGGACACAAAACCGTTGTGATTCTGCGACATGAACTGTGACCACGAACTGTGACAATCCCGTCGCAAATCGCCGCGCTGGCTTCACGCCCAGGGCTATCACGATTACCGCGCGAGAATTAATTTGCAATTTGCATCTTGATGATGTGTGGCACCCCTTAGTGGCTGCAGGGTTAACGGTAATCGAGGACATTCGCCAAAACGCCGAATCAGAAGACCATTCGATTTCTGTTCACGCAATACCACGCGCGCACCGAGTGTGCGAGAACGGTTTATTCTCTCGTTTAATCGCAACGTGCGCTATCGGCGCAGAAAGCTCGCAGGGCAGTGCATCGCCACCTGTGCTCGCTGCAAGCTAGCTGCCCGGCACTCTACTCATTGTGAGCATCACTCCTCCGCCCTCCGCTATCGGCATCATGAGATGAAGGACCCACTTCAGAAAGCTAGCAGGGCAGTGCATCATCACCCCTTTCATGTTGGAGAAAAGCCCGTGGAAGTGGATGTCGCAGAGCTACCTGAGATCCCTTCAGAAATGGCAACCAGACACAGCAGGGGGCAGCACTTTCCCAGCCGCTTGGCGTACAAGAGTGACTTTTTTTCGTATGACATCAAAGCCACATGCAGTCTGTTTCTCCTATAACACGGCAGTAGTTCCCTTCCTGAAGAACACCGCGTTTTGGACAAAAATAAAAAATAATATATAATATGCTTGGTCCGCGATACCATGTGAGATGCGAACGCAGGTTGAACAAAGACTGAGGCGCCATGGATAGCGTCTCGAAGCATCCCAGTGCCTTGTGCGACGCGACGCCGGAGGCAGCCGTACGACCCGCTTATTCCTACTCGCGCAGCGTAGTTCCGTTCATTCGATCGCGTTATATCCACTTTATAACAAAAATGTGTTACCTAAATAAATTGATCATCGCGTCACATCCGATTTGCGTTTTACGAAAACAACGTGCATTTGTAGGGGAACGGACCGTATTTAATTTTCAGAGCTGGATTTTTTTTAACCAAATTAAATGTGCTCCAGAGCCCCAGCTTAATGGCAGGCGGTGGCTGGAACCCCCCGGAGGGGATGCGAACCCAGGTTTCTCAGCGGTGCTGAGCCTCATGAGCTCACACACCCCCCCAGAAGAGTGCACGTTCTCTTTTAATCCACGAAGCCGCCGTGGAAAAATAATAAAAACCACACCCGGGTTTTATTTACGAACGCTTAAGACACCGGCGCTGCTTTGCTAACACAGCGATGTAAAAAAATGCCTGCGCTCGGGTTAATAGCGAGCCGTCAATTTTGCGTTCATACGATGACCGTGTGGCGCGGGCGGGAGGGGGCAAAGCAAACAAACAAACCCCCACCCACAACATTCAGCCGATGGAGATGACAGAGAATAATCGATCCATAAAATGGTGATTTAAAAATGCTGTATACATACCGGTGATGTACAATGGAAAACACGCAAACATCCACAAGTGCACAAACAAAGACAAAGATCCCCCCGTATAGCCTTAACAGACTGTTGGGGCAAGTGCTGTTAAGCGAGCACCTATGAAGGTCAGAACGGTACACGAGGGGGTGGGTGGCCAGCACCACGACCGGCCGCCTTTGTTTCCCCAGTGGCGATGTTTACACACCGCACCAGGTACTCATTTGATGCCGAGTCCACCTAGGGGAGGCCCAGGACCGGTTGAAATACCCGTCACTGATGTTGGCCGCGAGCGGGAATCGAACTCGGGTCGCCGGGTTCATAACGCAGTGCGCTAACCGCTACCCCATAAGTGCACGCCCCCCATCGCGCCCATGTAATATTACAGACTCATAGGGACAATTGCAGTTGGAGAACACCTATTAAGGCCGGCACAGCACATGATGGGATGGTGTAGTCAGCGCCACGCTGAGCCTACGAGCGTGGTGCTGATGTTCACAGAGAGCGCTGGGTATTAATTTGAGGCAGAGTTGACGAAAGGGAGGCCCTCGGACCAGTCCTGATGTCGCTCGCCACTGATATTAGCTGCGGCCGGGAAGCAAACCCAGATGGCCGGGGTTCATAGGGCTGTGCTGCAATAACCACATCGCCACCGCTCCCCAAAAACAACAGCGATCATTTGCCGCGAAGTGACGGTGATGTCACCACAGTGCTTGCGCGAGGCTAGGTGCGCTTTGAGGCCGGTATGTAAAGTGTCGAAAGTTCGCTGGCAGGAGGTCACGGAACAAACCCAGGTGCCATTGGTTGACTGACTGAGATGGCTGGCAGGTGCACGCACCACCTGTGCTATCTGCAATCTAGCGGCCCGGCACTGTCCTCGTTGTGAGCGTCGCTCCTCCACCCAGTAGAGTCCTTGACGAGCCTCCTCCACCGAGGCTGATCTTGACACCGCGCTGGTACGACTCATATGCAAAACCACTCAGCTCCACATCCTCTTTAACTACATCAGACCTCTTCTCTCGCCCGTGCTCACGCCTATTTAACCCCCTCTATCCAGCCAAAACAGAAGATGTTTGGGCATGCGTGGCTGGGCATGCAGGCTACATGATCCAGCCAATGCAGTCTCGCTTATTGTAGCTCACTGATGGGATTGGGTCCACTCCCAACACAAACACACGCGCACACAAGCACAGTTTGTCTGCACCTGTGTGTCCGAATAGCCCTCCCATCGTTGAGCCCTACAGTGAACCCGGCGATATTGTTATCGCCGGGTTCACTGTAGGGCTCAACGAATATAATTGCGATTTTTCTGACAGATATTGCGATTGCGATTTCATTCGCGATCAAAAAAATTTTAGTCAAGCTTCAGTTCAATATTCACTGTGTAATAGATGTAAAACATGTGATGGAGCATTACCACATGATACCATCAAAACAGGAACTGCTCTATATATTCTAATGCAAGGATGAGAACTTAAAATATATTAATTGCTTCCAACATGTATTTATAAAAATGTTTTAATTGAAGTAGAACAATCAAACATAGCACAATTGCTAAGTTAAATAAATAAAGTTATAATAATAAATAATAAAACAATTCCAAGAAAAAATATTTACTAATTGCATCGTTTTAAATTGTGATTTCGATTTGAAATCGATCAATCGTTCATCCCTAGTTCACTGGCACCACCACCCCCGTGCCCGCTGTTGCGATTGCCGTCCTCGAAGCGCAATCGCACGGCAGGGTGCAGGCCATCAGCCAGCGGTGAGGGACCTTTTCCTTCCTGAGGGCCAGACAGGACAATCAAATAACCTGCGTCAAAGGCGCGCTGGCAGGTCATTAGACAGATCCAGGAGCCGTGGGTTGACCGACTGAGACGCCTGGCATAATGCACCAACCTGTGCCCCCCCTCCTACTGTGCCAACTTGTGGGCCTTTGCGGCGACAGAAAAGTGGCTGAGCGAGCTGAAGTTATAAACGCAGCGTTGCTTCCAGGTTTACATTATTCCCTTCTGGCACCCGATTGGTACAACAAAAGACGCTCGCAGCGACGGATAAATATCGTTTTTCCGAAGCGGAAGGCCGCCTGCGGCCGCGTAGCTTAAGGCAGTGGGCCGCGTGCGGCCCTCAGGCCGTAGGCCCAGAGACACGCCAGCCAGGGAAAGTCCTGGCAATTGTTACCAGCAACGCATTGGCTAGAGTAGCAATGACGCAGATAAACGATGATTCTTAAGCTTGCGATGCACGCACGGAATCCTGCCTGTGCTTCGGTATTGATGTTTTTCAATTTGTGTTTGCTGTAGTATATGTAATGGGTTTTAGAGACGGGCAAAGCATATTCCGTCGTGTAATTTACACACCAATTTTTCATAACTGGAGAAAATGTCATTTAGATATACATGGCTAATTAACTTAGTGTGATTTAGATACAAATTCCGAATTATTTTTGGGGAAGTGTAACTTAATTACGGATTACAAATGTAATGAAATTACACATGTTAATGACATGTAGGGTGGATACTGCCGAGCTACGATTGGGCTCTATTAAATTAAAAAGTAGTTTTTTTAACCAGGTAAGGCCCCACTGAGCTATATAGCTGTTTTTCAGAAGCGACCTGGCCACAAATAACAGGTCATCCAAGCGGCTTATCACATGGAAATTGAATGAAGCTAAATACTCCAAATGTCAGTTTCCAAATGTGGAGGGAAAAACCGAAGAATCCACACAACCACAGGGAGAGAAATAAAGACACGCAAACTCCAAATAAACATGCGTTGTCAGGGTCCGGATCGAACCCACGACCTCCTGCGGACCAGGCAAGGTAGTTTACATCTCCTAGCCACCGTGTCCAGCTTGATAGGCAACGTCGGTACCACTGCCCGTAGCAGGGAGCCGCAATAACTCTCCGAGCGACACTCTCGTGTGAAAATTGCGTGGCCTTTAGAAGGACTTGCCCTCGAGAAAACCCGCCACTTTGATCAAAGCGTTGCCAAAACCTTGCAGACTTAAAAGCACTCCTCTAAAGGACTCCGTTCAAAGATGCAGACCGCATTTCGCCGACAGCTGCCCCGCCCACGAGTGCACCGCGGATCAAATACTTTCCGAGGGAAGCCGGGACGCATCGCGAAACCCGCGCACTGCCCTGATATTTATCCCTCGTTAGCGATAGAAAGTGAGCACGCCGACCGTCGCCGGCGACTGCCGCCTTGAAACCCGCCCTGGTGTCGTCTTCGCGGCCTTTAAGACAGTGGTGCTGCCTCCTGCTGCTGTCTGCTCCTGCGGCCGTGAGCACCCACCACGGGGGTATTATGACCGCGGTAGCAACCGCACGGCCTTAACCGCGCCGCGGCAGCCTCATCCATCAACCGCTAGTTATGGGCTGTCTCGCACATTCCATTACAGCTTTACTGCAGAGAATTGCGTACGCGTTTTTTTTAAGGGTACCATATTCTAACAGAAACGGTGATTTTGTTTGTTTGTTTATGTGCCACGCCACGTCCACGCTTGCGCCACGGGGGTAGGGGAGCGGGCGCCAAGCGAGCCGAGTTTACGAGGCAACGGGGGAGCAGAAGAAGCAGACCCCGTTTGGTTTACGTGAAGTCGCATCCGCCTACGACCACATTCCGATTACTCACGAGGGCTCGTCTGCTCACTCTCGCCGGCCGCTTCCGTGCCGTCAAGCAACGTCTTGCGCCCTGCTCGTCGAAACGCCCCATTACAATCTCGTCGTGTACCTCTCGCAATAAAGCTGGTGGTTGTCTCATCGTGTGTGCGTCCGCAACTTCCGTTCCCTTATGGCAGCCACGATAACAACGGTGTCATTTAATTTACACAGGAAAGCCTCAACTGAGTCAGTTAAAACTGAGGTGTGCAGAGAAAATCCACTACACATATGAAAGAGGGGCTTACAGCCACAGCTCCCCCAGAGATAGATTTGAGAATCCTTTGCTGTGCTGCCACCTGTTGGCCACCTTGCAACCCAAGCCTATAACACCTGGTCTGTTCCCAGGCAGCCTCCCATTCATTGTACCCACCAGTAGGCATCTGAATATTCGATCGTTTGTGAATCCACTGTAATGATTCACGGGCACGATCCAATTACAGAATCGAATGTTGTCGATTTTGGTCAATGAGGCCGACTCCAGTTGCAGCTTGCATCACTAGAACCCATAACATACAAGGTGTATAAAAAAGTATTAATTCTCACACGCGCAATTCAATGAATGTAATCGCAAGCGTATAGTTCGACTTTAATCGATGCCTCGTTATACACCCCTGCTAACCAGGCCGAAGGCTGCTGAACCTCCAAGCTCCAGCGAGATCGGGCACATTCAGGGGAGATTTAGTTACAGAATTCAAGTATGTTCGTGTGTGTGTACACGCGTCATAACATGCTTGCTACGTACGTGTTAACGTACGTCTTGCAAACGAGACGTCGGATTTCACGGGATTATCCAGGTGAAATATTTGATAAAAAAATGTTGTTTCTTTTTTAAGATTCGACCATGTTATCGTATCCGCTGCTCAACTGCGACATTCTTTTCGGGGGCTCCGTTTCTCTTTGGGGCTATATTTCTCTTCCTAATAAACACATTCCTGCGGAGGGAGCTGGTAGGAACGTTAGGTTGCTCGGTCAATGGCCAGGGTCAACGGCGGCATGGTGTATTCCGCAAATATGCCCAACTGTGAGGGCGGGCACAAGCCGGCGTGAGTAGGTTAAACGTTGAGTTTTATGAGGGCACCACGGGGTGACCAGCCCCTCCCCACCCAGCCCCACCCCCCACCACCCTCCCCACCCTCCCCTCTCCACCCAGCCCCTCCCATTTTTGGATGCACGATGGAAGGACGGACACAATAATCCCCTGTGGGCTGGTGTAGCCAGGAGGTTCCTACCAGTAATACATTCCGCTGGACGGTGGTGGCAGCGAGGCAGTCCACGGCTGAGCAAACCGCAAGAGAGCCAGGAGCGAAGAAATGAAACCACGCAGTTAGCCGCACGCCGGGAATGAAAGGAACGCTTTAACGGAAAGATGGGTTACGTCTGTTGGCTTTTTAGCGAAAATTATAAACACGTAATGCGACGCACAAAAACATAAAACATTTTTATGTTATTTTAGCAGCTGCTATTAACTAAATGCCAAATAAGGAGTCAAGCTGATGATCAAAGCCACGTGTGTGTGTGTGTGTCCCTCCTTGATCTCGCGGGTTTGTAATGGAATATTAATAGGGACGTGTGCGTGTCTCACGAACGCTTCCACGGCCTACGAGACGGCTTTGTGGGGACCACACGGGCACGTGCGCGGCAGCAGTGTAGCGACTCGCTTCTCAACTTGAATCGCGCGCCGACGAGGAGACGAGCGCGACACGTTCGCAGTCACACGCAAAGGTGTCGTAGACAGGCAGAGGGCACGGTGGAGGCAAGTCTCGGCATTGGGAGCGGCAGCGTAGCGGTTAGCGCGCGCTGCGCTACGAACCTGAACCCCAGTTCGATTCCCGCTCACGGTCAACACCGTTGACGATTATCTGAACCAGTCCTGGGCCTCCCCTAGGTCGACTCGGCCTAAAATGAGTACCTGGTGCGGTGTATAAACATCGTCACTGGGGAGACAAAGGCGGCTTGGTGTGGTGTTGGCCACCCACCCCCTCGTGTGCTGCTAAGGCTATATGGGGGATCTTTGTCTTGCACACCGTCCCATGACGACTCCACCAGCTCGGAAGGGATGAAAAATAACGAGGCTTCTATGTACCATTGTCGGCAGGGTGGCGAAGGGTGGCGAAGGGTGGCACGCACTGGTAGCAGGGCGGCGTGGTGGTCACGCTCGCTCCTCGCAGCAAAAAGGGACCTAGGTTCGATTTCTGACTCGGGTGCCTTTCTGTGTTGAGTTTCTATGTTCTCCCCCTGTTCCGCGTGGGGTTCCTCGAGATGACTACCATAGCTAAACACACACACAGTGGTAACTGGTATTTGCCAAATAACCCAATGGTGAAAAATTACACTGCAAATCACTCGATTGTGATCACGCACAGCAGCAGCATTGCCCGCTACTGCGGAAACTAGGCAGGGACCCTCCTGAAACAGAGTATTGAGACTCAGTGAGGCTTTCCTGGGTAAAGAAGTATTTCTATATAAAAAAAGCAAATCTTCACCATTAATAAGTCTCATCTGTGCAATATAGCTATCATTGGCTACTGCCGCCATTTGTGGCCGAGTCCCTTATGATGATGATATTAATCACAAGCATTCAACCGTTACCCACTCACTCTTCTCATAAGCTTGACATTAAGTCTTCACAGGTAATGATGCACGAGCTTATACTTCACGCACATCAGGGCACTCGAATCAAAACGACGCTCGAGCAGCATTCAAGCGTTATACCACTTGTCGCGTCCCGCGGGACAGAGCTCATTCAGGGAACGCATTTACAAGGGAGCCGCAATTGTAGGAACTGACTTAAAAAAAAATACCAGGTAAGGAGGCAGGACAGCCACCAAAGCTGAAGCTGGAGGATGGGCTTCATGCCGTCGGAGATCTCATAGCTCCAGCGCCGGCACCGGGTCAAGACATACGGATTGATGGAACGCCGGGTGGATGGGCCAGGAGCGATGGTAAACACCTGCGATGGGTAACGATGCCGCGTGCCGTTGCCGAGTCCCGCGCGCAACGGGGCCGTGAGCGCTGCCGGTTGCTGCTCACGCCGGTGCCGCCTCGTGGCCCCCCGACCTCCAACCCCCCCACCCCGCAACCCCCGCCGAGAAGGAGGCCGGTCCGCTCGCCCCCAGTCAAGCCGACTCACCTTGAAGTGCGCGAAGGTCTTCTGGCGGAGCGCGCACCAGCGGCTGTGCGACACGATGGTCCTGAGCAGCAACATCAAACTCTTCTCCTCCTCAGCCCTAACGCAGGTGGCAAGACAGATATCCCATGTAGAGCCTCAAAAGACTGAGACTAAAACGAAACTAAACTTTTTATTTTATTTTACCAGGTAACAATGCCCACTGAGCTAAGTAGCTCTTTAGAAGCGGCCTGGCCACAAATGATAACTCAACTAAGCGGCTTATCGTATGGACATTTATAGCAGCCAAATACTCTAAACGCACGTTGATTCTAAATGTAGAGGGAAAAACCGGAGGACCCGGGAGAAAAGTCCACGCGACCACGGGGAGAGAGACACGCACACTCCAAATATACAACAGGCGCCAGAGTCGGGATCGAACCCATGATCGCCTGTATAACAACTGAGGCAGTTAACATCTCACCACTGCGTGTTCTCACTCGTAAGCACTTTGTAGATTTATTTTCTTGAAAATTTTTTTTTGCAATATTGCCTCCGGTACAAAGAGAGCCACAACGAGTGGGCCGTTCTATGCGGTCACAGCGAGGTCTGCCCGTAGATGCAACGTTGGCGGTCAAATGCCATGCACCGGTCGCTGGCCTGACGAACCCGGCTAGATTTGAACCCCTGGGCAAACACCTGGCTATGAAGTTGGCCAGGTCATCGGGAGCCGAGTCTACTGCCACGTCCAGCTGCGACACGGAAGCGGTAGTTTGCCCATCCACCTGCCGGGAAAAAAGGTCGGGGGGGGTCAGGGGGTAGAGGCATGGTTGTCGGCTTCATTGGGGTGGCGGCTCGCCAGCCTGTCCAATCAGAGCTTCTCTCGCTCTGTTGGTCGTTCTACTAATTTCCGCGGCATTTGCACTTCTACTACAACTATAGCAGCAGCAGAAACAGCAGCAGCAACAGCACCATAGCAGTAAAATCACCAACAGCAACATCCCAGCAACAGCAGCACCATAACAGCAGTATCACCAACAGCAGCATCCCAGCAATAGCAGCATAAACAAGAAGCATCACCACCCCCATCAATGGCAGCACCAGCATCACGAGCAACACCACCATAATCATTTCTGTACGTGCAACACCTTGATGTGTGTACGTTTGAACTTCTTTCGCACTGTTCGTAGCCAACCGTGCTAATCGGAGGTGCGATTGGCGTGGCTCTGTGGAACTCACCGTGGTTTCGTTGAGTTCGAACTGCAGCTGGAAAGAAAAGGAGAAGCACTCCCCGGAGAACAGGTGTTTCCCCACAGCGCCCTGCACACCTGCACCACACGCCAGCGGCACGGCTACACAGTTACGGTGAGCAGTTACCAGGGGCAGCGGGAGCCGGGGGCACGACTTCGCGACTTCATTCAACACGGCCCGTGGCCGCACTTCATAACAATGAGGTTTTTTTGGGTTATATCGCGTAAATATAAATGTGTCGTTGCAAGGAATCATGTCTGCATTAACCACATATACTTGTGGTGAACATGCAAACAAAAAACATGCTCTGATAGTATGTACATTGTCTTTGAAACTGATTGGTCCACACCAGAGACAGCTTTCTTTAGAGCCTCGTCTCAACAGTGTTAGACCAGAGGACGCCACAAAGCGAACAGTACGCAGACAATGCACTATCAGGACATTGAGAGCATGTTCACCACAAGTATATGTGGTTAATGCAGACATGATTCCTTGCAAAAGGTTTCAGTTTGGTGTTTTAACATCTTAACAACTGTTTTATTGCCAGAAAGGGTAAAATCTATTCTTATATTTGGATACAGGCAAGTGAGGTCCCATGAACTAGTAATTAATTGGCACGTTTTGTTTACGTGACAAACCTTACCAAATGGCTCTGTCGGGTGGTGGCGGATTTAACGATACATTTATATGTACGCGATCTAACCCAATTAATCCTCTTGTGAATAATATTGGTCGCAAAAGCCTGCGTGTTAAACTGACTTCATAACGATACATGCCCACAACTGCAAGCATCTTAGTTGCCTTTATTGTGTATTAGAGGGGAACATTTTCAAACCCCTGTCAAACAGCGAGGAACCCAGAATTCAGGGTGAGCCGGAAGGCTTCACAAACAAATCAATAATCAACCAAAACAATGCTCGTTCGCTGAGTAAGCCAGTGGTGTGCAGTGTAAGACGGCATGCGTGTGCGTGCATATGCGTGGGTGCGTTCGTGCGAGCGCACGTGCACCGCACACGTCTGCGTGCGCTACCCATTTCCTTGCTCCAGGTGTAGCTGTGAAAGTGAATCCCGGTCAACTCGCTCAAGAACTCCAACCGGGACTCCAACCAGGAATGCCGAGTCTCCATGGTGGGGCCTTGCTGCTTCTCCTCATCCCACCGCTCCCCGAGGCCAGATTGCCGCGTCAGCACCTCCCTGCGGCGCAACGGCAAGCGTCATCAACAACGTTGTCAACGTCGTCAACGTCGTGTGCGACATGCTGAGATGAAAAACGCGCGACAGGCAAACAAAATCATGCGGTAAAAGTTACGCAAGTTTTTGCCGAGGTTAAGAGGTAATATTTGTTTTTGCCACGGTTAAGAGGGAATATATATTTATTGTAAAAACAAAACGCGATGAGCCCTAATTACAGCACGCCGCGCGGCTTACACAACAGAGGCTTCGCAATTCACGGGAGGACAGTCCTGATGGCAACTGGAAACATGTAAAAGGAGGGGAGGTAAAAGGTGGGGGGAGAGGGCCCCACCATCCCCCCCCCCCAACAAAGTGAAGACGCTGCATTAGGAAGAAGATGGAAATTAAAATGGTGAGGGCATGACGGTGGACGGGGATAATAACACATTCCTGCGGAGGGAGCTGGTAGGAAAGTTGGGTTGCTCGGTCAATGGCCAGGGTCAATGGCGGTGTGGTGTATTCTGCAAATATGCCCGACTGAGGGCGAGCACAAGCCGGCGTGAGTAAATTAAACGTTGAGTTTTATAAGGGCACCACGGGGTGACCAGCCCCTCCCCACCCAGTCCCACCCCTCCCCACCCAGTCCCGCCCTGCACGACGGACAGACACAATAATCCGCTGTGGGCTGGTGTAACCAGGAGGTTCCTACCAGTATAACCAACCTCAACAGCGAGGTCCTGTTTAGAACGCGTTCTGATGCAACCGTTCCATCCGAATCTCCGTAACACGTGGCCACGATGACTCCCGTAACATATCCAACATGAATGTAATTTCAGTATTTAGATTATTTTTTTCTACTAGGCGACTTACTCGAGAGAGAAAACCGACTATATATGTACGAGCAGCCCAAAACATGGCAGTAAAAAACCCCGATAAAGCAAAACGGATAAAAGCCTTTTCGGGCCAAGGCGATGTGACACGCCATGCGCCCACCTGCGCGCGCCTCATGACGTGCGTCGTCATTTTCGTACATCGCTCGCCATGCCATGAGTGGCTTGCAAAATGCTCTAGAGTAATTAAGAGCGTGGTTATGGAGTCAAGTGAAAGACAAAAGACAAACATACCCTGTAGAGCCTCAACAAACTGAGACAAACAATTTTTTTTATTTTCCCAGGTAACAAGACTCAATGAGCTAAGGAGCTTTTTTCAGAAGCGGTCTGGCCACAAATGATAACTCAACTAAGCGGCTTATCGCATGAACATTTATAGCAGCAAAATACTCTAAATGCACGTTGATTCTAAATGTGGAGGGAAAAACCGGAAGACCCGGGAGAAAAATCAACATGACCATGGGGAGAGAGACACGCACATTCCAAATATACAACAGGCATCAGGGTTATAAATGAGTACTGGTTGAGAGTCAATATACGTAATCTCTGCGAAGACAAAGGTGGCCGGGCGTGGTTCTCACCACACCCTCCACATGTGTGCTGCGTTGGCATTCGTAGGTGATGGCTCACAGCACTTACCACCCCAACAGCCTGCGTATGTGCAATTGTGTGCACGCGCTGCACCACGAACCCGGCAACCCGAGTTGGATTCCCTCTCACAGCCAACTACCAGTGACAAATATCTGAACCGGTCCTGGGCCTCCCCTAGGTAGACTCAGCATCAAATAAGTACCTCGTGCGATGTGAAAACATCGCTACGAGAGAGACAAGGGCAGGTGTTGGCCACCCACCCCTCGTCTGCCGTGCCGGACTTCATAGGCGCTACTCCCTAACAACGCTTGTCCCATCATTCTTTTGAGGCTATACGGGGGATCTTTGTCTCTGTGTACGCGCGTGTGTGTGCATGTGAGCGCGTGTGTGTGTGCATGTGAGCACGTGTGTGTGTGCATGTGAGCGCGTGTGTGCATGTGAGCACGTGTGTGTGCGCGCGAGTTGGCCTCACATGGCACGGGTGAGGGCGGCTCGCTGATCAGAGTCGGCGTCCCCCTGCCCCGCGTCGTCCTCTCGGCCCTCGCGTTCCAGCCTCGCGATCTCGCTCCTCAGCGCCGCTGCTTCCCGCTCCCACGCTGCCCTCGCTCGCTCCTCCATGGCGGGGGGGGGGGCCCTGTCGGTAGCAGTGCTGGGGGGGGGGAAGTGGAAGGACCACCAGCGGTGAGTCCTCAGCATCACGGCCCCACTTGCATCCACTAATGAAGCTGAAGTACAAAAAAATAGGCACGACTTCATTTAATTTTAAGAATTGGCTTTTACCCAATTGCTGTATATTCCGACAAACGGGAAGGAGAGGGGTTGGCGACAGCTCGGCATTCATCCAGCAGTGGATTGATTATGGCCTATGACCAATTCACCCAGAATGCTGTGCCCCATCTTGCTAGATCATATCGGAAGCAAAGCAGGATTTTAACCCTGGGTAGTGCTTGATTTTGTAATATGCTATTAAACTATTGCAACCATTTTTTTTACTAGGCGAGACCCACTGAGCTGTGTAGCGATTTTTCAGAAGCAACCTGCCCACAAATAGTAGCTCAACAAAGTGGCTTATCATGTGGAAATGGATAGCAGCCAAATACTCTAAACGCATGTTGATTCTAAATAGAGGGGAAAACCGGAGGAACGGGAGAAAAATCCACGCGACCAAGGGGAGAGACATGCAAACTCCAAATATTCAGATACGAGGGTCAAGATTGAACCCGCGAACTTCTGCATTCCAGGAAAGGTAGTTAACATCTCGCCACTGTGGTGCTCCATTAATTAATAACTGCGCTGTTAACTCATGGTAATCGATGACTAAAGTTGTTTCCCAACTTAATTTGTGAAAATTCCATCTCTAGATATGAAAAGTATTTAGTATGACTGTCATGCGGACGACGAAAAGTAAGTATCTAGAGGCAGCAGAGTGGTTGGGAAAGTGCTGCCCTCTACTGTATGGGCAAGTGGTCACTTGGAAGTAGCTCTGATTTCCACTTCCACGGGCCGCTCTCTTACGCGAAGGGGTTGATGCACCGTTCTGCCAGAGCTCGCAGTGTGGATTCCGCATCTCACGTCCCGACGCCGGGTACAATCAGAAAGAAACACGAACACAGTACGACGCGTCTCTCTGCCGTGCCATCTCGTGCCCACCAAACATCCCCGCAGCCAGTAACACCCGCTGCTCTTTTGCACGGTGGTCACCCATTAGAGCACCATCCAAGCTCCGTCCCCCGCTCCCGTATGCCGAGATCAAACGGTATTGAGCGTTCTCCTGATTTGATCATGCGCGCAAATTGAGTAACTGCACGTCAAAACGTGAGCACCTGCTGCTGCCCAAATTCATAAAACACGCCGGCGTAATTGCTCGCTATTAAATGAATAATACGAATTTAAACAGAGAATCCATACGGATTGAAGGATCGACAGGTCACCACACTCCCTCAAACCCGGCATGAGGTTTGCATTTAAACGTTACCCATTTTGGGGTTTCCAGATTGTTAAGGACAATTTCGGATTTGATTTTATACTTCAATGTACACTGTATTACATTTGAATAACGTTCATTGTCCGTGCACGTCGTTTGATCATTTTAACTGTTAGAAATATTAATTGTGGAATTATAATTGCGAACATTGTGAACGAGCTAAATAGTCCAATCACGTCTCGTGATTGGACTATATTTATACAATATAGTACAATGCTTTGGACATGTTTGATACATCTGAAAATAAATGCTGATATTTTGGATTAATCTTAAAACTCTAAAATTGGGCCCAACATTTTGGATGATCCGAAAAACAAAATGCGTCTCGGATTTATCCAAAATACGACGCGACGGGAATTTTCAGATACTTGGGATGAATGTTAAAAATGAGAAAACGTCGCGACCACAAACTACGTCGCTCTTGGCGTTTTCACGGTGAGCCAGAGGACATCCCCAGCGGTCTGGGTCTCCCACGCAGACCACCTCAATCCAGCGCATGCCAGCTGTGTCCACCAGCACGGCACGGGCTCGTCCAATTTGTCCCCAGGTGCGCGACGGAGCGTGCCGTTTGAAATCCGTCCGTCCAAACTTGAAATTGAGTTTCCAGAGTTTTGGAGCGTGCGGCCCAACGTACTGTCACACGGTGTGCGGTGTGCTTCTTATTCATTACCTGCGCGCCGCCACCACCGCTGCCACCACCACCGCAATAGCAGCCACTGCCGCAGAAACCGCCGTCACCGTCAGACCGGCGCAATTTTCGCCGTGAGCTAATAGCCCTCTCTGTTCCGCGCCACGGCTCCGCGAGCAGTTGATTTATGGTACCGGCTCAGCTGCGTTCCACCACGCGCACTGGCGAGCGTGAGAATAATACATTTAGCGGTAAAGGAATTCCGACCAGCAGATATAACGACGTTGTTTGGCCGAGGAGTAAAATTACCATTCGTTACCGTATTCTCCGGATCAGTCGCGGGGAGCGTCTTATGATCCGCTACAGTACTGCGTGACCAGATTTTTTTAATCTTCAGGATCAGAATCTTTATTTATCTTGGAGAAATCCAATACGCTACTAAGCTCTTTTTTACAGATGTCCAGTAGGGGAGGTTCGGAAATGTGCAAAGTATAGCAAAAGTAAGCAAATCACTAAAATAAATACGTAAACTGTATCAAGTATATAAGCTTTCGTGACTGCAGGGATTCATCTTCTTGGTTCTTTCGGTAAAGTCACGTAGAAGGGAAATAATAAAATAATAAAAATTAAACATAATAAAATACAATTCTCACGACGTTTCGGCCACAACGCAAGCAGCCGTCCTCAGGTGAAGAACAGGTCTGTCGGAAAGACAGCGTTGATGTGGAGTGACGTCACCTGCTCATGATTATTAATAGGGGGGGGGGGGTCCACGTGGAGGACGTCACCTTTTTATGATTATTAATGAGAGGGGGGCTGGCCGACGTGGAGTGATGTCACGCGCGGGACACACAGACATTCTTGGCTCTTCAGGTGAGAAATGATCTTCTGTTGTGGCTTTATATAGGCACGGGAGGGGGGGGGAAGGGGGGGGTTGTAGAGTTACCTTTCACACCCGATGACAGACGCTTGTGTTGCGACCGAAACGTCGTGTTCTTTTATATTTTTTTCTAACTACGTGACTTTACCGAAAGAACCAGAGTATGGATTCCTGCAGTCACGAAAGCTTCAAATCAAGATTATTCTTGGCTCATTATAGTAGTAAATATCCAGGTCACTTCTGAAAAAGATCTGTATAGCTCAGTGGGCCTTACCTGGTAAAATTAGTAAAAAAAACGGTCCCTCAATAAAATTGCACGTTAAAATTGAACCGTCGATACACGGGGGTTAAGGATGACAGTTACAAATCACATCTGTAAATATGGCTGTATCCAGCACTAATCTTCTGCTTCAGGATATTTTTTTGAAGGAAGATTTACGATGTTAAGGGAGAAAAAAAAGGTCGTTCCAAAACGTTGGTGCTGCAACGGCAAAGGTTTTTCACCAATCCCTACTGTTGTTCTTGGTATAGTTAAAAGGCAATTAATAAGTTGCTTGAGTTTGACAAGTGTATTTGCCACTACAGAGCCATTTCTACCACTGCTATATTTAACTATATTTACCAGATTGTAACACCCGTTTTTGTCTCAAGTGTCCACCTCTATATTTAGTAATTTTATATTTCACAACCTTGTTTCCCGCTTTCTCGGGACGTCGTATATTGTGGAAACGTTTTATATGTTTTAACTAACCTCAAGTTGGGGGTGTATCTCACATTCGGGAGCGTCCTCTCATGCAGACCGGGAAGTGTTGGTGTGGTTTGTACATCGTTCCTACTATATTCTATGGTTCTTTCGGCAAAGTAACTTTACCGAAAGAACCATAGAATATGAATTCCTGCAGTCACGAAAGTTAAGTCAAAGTTCCTACTATAGTTTCCAAAATCTCATCAGTGTTCATGATAAAAAAATATATATAACTTTGTCAGTGCCTTACAACTTCTGTAATTGTATTTCACGCGCATATAATATCGTTTTTTGTGCACTTTTTATCCAATCCGAATGAAGATTACTTAATAAAGGTTCTTCAAGTGCAGTTCATGAAACGAAAGCCTCGAATCGGTGAAACTTAACCTGTCCCACTGATAATGCAGTCGGTTACACGACAAGACTCCCACAACAACGCACACCCTCCTGCCTCCGACATCCCTTCAAGACACCCGGTGGTGGAACCATCAACCGCGCCGGAACATCAACAGCAGCACACCGATGTGCACATCTCCTACAGGAATGGAAAGTTCAAGACAATACCCACAGCAGTGCGCCTGTAGCCATGCAACCCAAACTGTGGCTCAGGTCGTAAACTCACTGGTGGTCTGCGCTCGTTCAACGAAGGAGGAATAGCATAGGAGGAACACGGCAGGGCGCCGGTGTGGCGAGATGTTTACTACCTCGCCTGGTTACTACCTTGCCTGGTGTACAGGAGGTCGTGGGTTCGATCCCGACCCTGACGATGCCTGCTGCTGTATATTTGGAGTTTGCGGTGTCTCTCTCCCCGTGGTCGCGTGGATTTTTCTCTGCGTTCTCCGGTTTTTTCCCCCTACACATTTAGAATCAACAAAATGCGTTTAGAGTGTTTGGCTGCTATACATTTCCACATGATGATAATCCACTTCGTTGAGCTATTATTTGTGGTCAGGTCGCTTTTAAAAAAAATGAGCTATACAGCTCAGTGGGCTTTACCGGATAAAATAAAAGTTTAGTTTAAAAACTACACAAACTCTCTCTCTCGAAGAAGAAGAAGCCCTCTCGTCGTGGCCAGCAGGCCTCGACCACAGCATTTAGCTCCCTGAACATATTGCTACCATAGACAAGGGTAGAATAGTTACACGAAAGGCAACTTCAAGTTCATTTATTAGGTATAGCCCTGTGAGCCATTCGGCTCTTGAATCGGGTGCAACCGCAACAAACAAAAACATGAACAAGAAAACATCTTAAAGTGACTAAGTGCAAACAGAAAATCCAAGAAAAGACAGCAAAATATTGCAGAAAAAGCACCGTACACCAACGCTGTGTGCAACAATCCCAGTGGGATGCAAGTCAAACAACAACCACAAGACAACTTAGATTAAGGCCATCAGTCTAACTCTGTACTACAACAAACAAACATGGCCAAACCAAAAAACGTTTCGAAAATCACCAAAATAAAGCCATAAAAGCAATGAAACAGTGATCATAGAAACTGTGACCGAATTTTCACAATAAACGACGTAAACAACACGTACTACCAAACTCTGCAGCCATAGCTGGCTGCATGAGTCACTCCACAACAGCAGGAGCATCAGTCGAAGTATCAACATTTTTCAATGCACCTTTAAGATCAACACACTAAATCAAAACACAGATCATACTTGGCAGCGATCATCCGGAGCAAAACATTTAATTTTAGGCCACTGAATAGCAGTGGCAGCTCGGGGTGTACAACTCCTCTAGAGCAGTCGGCTCAGCCCTAACCAAGTACCTTGTGCAGTGTGTAAACATCGCGACTCGGGAGACAAAGGTGCTGACCATCGACCCCCTCGTGTGCCGTGCCGACCTTCACAGGTGCTACTCGCCAACACAGCACTTGCCCCAGCAGCCTGTGAAGGCTACACGGGGGACCTTTGTCTCGCCTTGTCTATGTGGGGAGCGGTGGCGCAGTGGTTAGCGCGCACGGCGCTACGAACCCGGCGAGCCGAGTTCGATTCCCGCTCACGGCCAACAACAGCGACGACTGAATGAACCTGGCGGGCCTGGGTCTCTTCCCCTAGGTCGACTCGGCCTTAAGCGAGTAGTCAGGCACTGTAAGAGTTATTCTTGCTTGCACGCTTGGCGCCTTCAAGAGTAGCTGGCGCGGGAAGACAAAGGCGGCTGTGCGTGGTGAGCGAGCCACCCCCACAGGTTGCTAACAGCACTTCTTGTGCCCCCCCCCCCACCACAACAGCCTGTTGTGGGGGGGGGTGAGCTTCGTCTAAACGCAACCTCCCTCGGAAGCCTCCCGCCTAGGCAGACTGGGCCTTAACAACGAGCACTCGCTGGCGTTGTTGGCAAAAAGAAGTCGCGAACATCGGCCCCGGGGAGACAAAGGCGGCCGGGCGCGCGGGGTTTATATCTGGGTACCAACAAGACCGCCGAGCATCGTCAAGAGGCAACCGCGGGCCCGGGCCTGCAATAGGCGCTCGCTAACAGCCTCCCCCCCACCCCCGGCCGCCGCCGCCGTGTCTCCCTCACTCGTCACGATCTCCCCTCACCTCCTCGTGTGTCAATGTCCCCTCACGTCACTGCGACTGCACCGCGCCCCTCACCTCCTCGTTTTACCTCAGCCCGCTCGCCTCGTCCGCCTCTCGAATTCTCCCGCGCTTTTCCCGCCTTGATGACGCGGCCGGGTTCAAAGGGGGAGTGGGGGCGGGGCCGTGGTGCCACACCCCTCCCACTCACAACCCCCCCCCACTCACAACCCCCCCCACCCCCCTACTCACAACCCCCCCCACCCACACCCCCCACTCACAACCCCCCCCACCCCCTACTCACAACCCCCCCCACCCACACCCCCCACTCACAACCCCCCCCACCCCCCCACTCACAACCCCCCCCACCCACACCCCCCACTCACAACCCCCCCACTCACAACCCCCCCCACCCCCCTACTCACAACCCCCCCCACCCACACCCCCCACTCACAACCCCCCCCACCCCCCCACTCACAACCCCCCCCACCCACACCCCCCACTCACAACCCCCCCCACTCACAACCCCCCCCCCACTCACACCACCCCCCACCCACAACCACCCCACTCACAACCCCCCCCCACAACCACACCCCCCCACCCACACCCCCCCCCCCACTCACAACCACCCCCCACTCACAACCCCCCCCCACTCACAACCACCCCCCACCCACAACCACCCCACTCACAACCCCCCCCACAATCACACCCCCCCCACCCACACCCCCCCCCCCCCACTCACAACCACCCCCCACTCACAACCACCCACAACCACCCCCACTCACACCCCCCCCCCCACAACCACACCCCCCCCCACCCACACCCCCCCCCCCCCACTCACAACCACCCCCCACTCACAACCACCCCCCACTCACAACCACCCCCCACTCACAAACCCCCCCCACTCACAACCACCCCCCACTCACAACCCCCCCCCCCACTCACAACCACCCCACTCACAACCACCCCCCACTCACAACCACCCCCCACTCACAACCACCCCCCACTCACAACCCACCCCCCACTCACAACCCCCCCCCACTCACACCACCCCACTCACAACCCCCCCCCCCCCCACTCACACCACCCCCCACTCACAACCACCCCCCCACTCACAACCCCCCCCACTCACAACCCCCCACCACAACCCCCCCCACTCACAACCCCCCCCCACTCACAACCCCCCCCCCCACTCACACCCCCCCCCCCCCCACTCACACCCCCCCCCACTCACAACCCCCCCCCCACTCACAACCACCCCCCACTCACAACCACCCCCACTCACAACCCCCCCCCCCCCACTCACAACCCCCCCCCACTCACAACCCCCCCCCACTCACAACCCCCCCCCCCACTCACAACCCCCCCCACTCACAACCCCCCCCCACTCACAACCCCCCCCCCCCCCACTCACAACCACCCCCACTCACAACCCCCCCCACCCACAACCACCCCCACTCACAACCCCCCCACTCACAACCACCCCCCACTCACAACCCCCCCCACCCACAACCACCCCCACTCACAACCCCCCCCCCACTCACACCACCCCACTCACAACCACCCCCCACTCACACCACCCCCACCACACCCCCCCCACTCAAACCACCCCCACTCACAACCACCCCCACTCACACCCCCCCCCCACCCACAACCACAACCACCCCCACTCACAACCCCCCCACTCACAACCACCCCCACTCACAACCCCCCCCCACCCACAACCACAACCACCCCCACTCACAACCACCCCCACTCACAACCCCCCCCCACCCACAACCACAACCACCCCCACTCACAACCCCCCCCCACTCACAACCACCCCCCACTCACAACCCCCCCCCACCCACAACCACAACCACCCCCCACTCACAACCACCCCCCACTCACAACCCCCCCCCACTCACAACCCCCCCCCACTCACAACCCCCCCCCACTCACAACCACCCCCCACTCACAACCACCCCCCACTCACAACCCCCCCCCCCACCCACAACCACAACCACCCCCACTCACAACCACCCCCACTCACAACCCCCCCCCACCCACAACCACAACCACCCCCACTCACAACCCCCCCCACTCACAACCACCCCCACTCACAACCCCCCCCCACCCACAACCACAACCACCCCCACTCACAACCACCCCCACTCACAACCCCCCCCCCACCCACAACCACAACCACCCCCACTCACAACCCCCCCCCACTCACAACCCCCCCCCCCACTCACAACCACCCCCACTCACAACCACCCCCACTCACAACCCCCCCCCCCACCCACAACCACCCCCCACTCACAACCCCCCACCACTCACAACCACCCCCACTCACAACCCCTCCACCCACAACAACATCAACAACCACCATTCGCCACTAAGTGGCGGTGACGTCACCACGACGCTTGTGCCAGGTCATGTGCACCTTGAGGCCACGTGAAGTGTCGAACGCCCACTGGCAGGAGGTCACGGGGCAGACCCAGGTGCCACGGGTCGACTGACTGAGATGACCGAGATGACTGGCTGATGCACCACCTGTGCCCCCTACTGTGCCAACTTGCTGTGCTTTAGCCACCCGGCGCTCCGCTCGTTGTTGTGAGCGTCGCTCCTCCGCCTTCAGTTGTTGTTGGAGGGCGACTGCCTCCAACTGCCCAGTAGCGTCCTTCACGAGCCTCCTCCACAGAGGCCCATCTTGACACCGCTGGTACCAGTCATCGGCAAGTCCACTCGGCTCCACGTCCTCCTGTACCACATCACTCCATCTCTTCTCTAGCCCGTGCCGCGCCCGTCTAGCCCCCTCGATCCGGCCGAACAAAAGCTGTTTGGGCATGCGGTGGCTGGGCATGCGGGCTACGTGACCCAGCCAACGCAGCCTTGCCTGCCGGAGGAGCTCACCGATGGGACTTTGCCCAGATCTTTCAAGGATTTGTGAGCTCCTCACACAATCCAGCCTGGTATCGTAGGCAGGCCAGCCTAAATGTTTCCCCCCCACCCAGAACGCCCCCATCCAAAACCACCCCCCACCCACAACCCCCCCCCACAACCCCCTCCACACTTGCCCTCCCCCACGACCCCCCACAAAACAAAGACAACGATCCCTCGTATAAATCTTAATTTAGGGGCCGTCCTTAAATGACGTCACGCACCTAGGGGGGGGGGGGGGTCAGAAATTTGTGACGATATGTGACGAGGGGGGGGTTTGAGAAATGTGACGTCACACCAAAATGCGCAACTTTAAATAAATATGGAATTGTTATAACAACACTCCTACAACATCAGAGTGCAGCGCCACATTAAATACGCACTACAATGACTATAGTTTAAAGCGATTTGAAGCGTGTTTTATTTTCAAAATGGAAATATGGTTGGGGGGGTACAGAGCTTTGTGACGTCATATTTGAGGAGGGGGGGGTCTGACTTTTTGTGACGCCGTGGGGAGGGGGGGGTCAAAAATCGTCCAAAATCGCGTGACGTCATTTATGAACGGCCCCTTAAAACTTATGAATATGAATCCCCCGTATAGCCTCGACGTACTGTCAGGGCACTTGCTGATAGCGATCAGCACCTGCTGAAGGCCGGCACGGTAGTGAGGGGGTGGGGTGGCCAGCACCACCACGCTCGGCCGCCTTTGTCTCCCCAGTGGCGATGCTTGCGCACATAGCACCAGGTACTCATTTGAGGCTGAGTCGACTTAGGGGAGGCCTAGAACCAGTTGATATATTCTTCCAAAGATGTTGGCCGTGAGCGGGGATCGAACTGGGATGACAGCGCAGCTGCGGTAGGCGCCATCCATGGAGTAGGTACGCAAAGTCTGTCAAAACTTGACCCTCCCCCCCTCCCTGTAAGCACGCGGAATTTTACACCCCCCCCCCCCCACGCGTACGTACGCCTGACGCACCCCCCCCCCCCGAATCCTATAGAACGGCCGATATTTAATCCACGCAGAAACGAACAAGGATGAATACTATTAACGTGTTTAAGCAAACACAGAGTCCACCGCCCGACTATCTAACTCAGTGGAAGGCCAATGTCGACAAACTAGTATCGAGGCTTCACCCCCCGCCCCCTGTGCGTACATTGTCAGTAGACCCCCATACGCAAGCGAACGCATTTGGGTTCACCCCCCCCCGCTCCCCCATCCATGCGTACGCACTGAATGGATGGCCCCCCTACCGCTCCCTCCTCCACCCACCTCGCCCGGCTCCTCTCAGTGGCTCCCCCTGCCAGACACCACCTCCATGAGCGCTCACGGGGCTCCACCTGGAATCCTCTTGCTCCACCCACACCAGCCTAGATATCACTGCCTTCACCTGGCTCCACCTGGCTCCACCCACATCAGCCTGGATATCACTGCCTTCACCTGGCTCCACCTGGCTCCACCCACATCAGCCTGGATATCACTGCCTTCACCTGGCTCCACTGGCTCCACCCACATCAGCCTGGATATCACTGCCTTCACCTGGCTCCACCTGGCTCCACCCACACCAGCCTGGATATCACTGCCTTCACCTGGCTCCACCTGGCTCCACCCACACCAGCCTGGATATCACTGCTTTCACCTGGCTCCAGCTGGCTCCACCCACACCAGCCTGGACATCACTGCCTTCACCTGGCTCCACCCACACCAGCCTGGATATCACTGCCTTCACCTGGCTCCACCCACACCAGCCTGGACATCACTGCCTTCACCTGGCTCCACCCACACCAGCCTGGATATCACTGCCTTCACCTGGCTCCACCCACATCAGCCTGGATATCACTGCCTTCACCTGGCTCCACCCACATCAGCCTGGATATCACTGCCTTCACCTGGCTCCACCCACATCAGCCTGGACATCACTGCCTTCACCTGGCTCCACCCACATCAGCCTGGATATCACTGCCTTCACCTGGCTCCACCCACATCAGCCTGGATATCACTGCCTTCACCTGGCTCCACCTGGCTCCACCCACATCAGCCTGGATATCACTGCCTTCACCTGGCTCCACCCACACCAGCCTGGATATCACTGCCTTCACCTGGCTCCAGCTGGCTCCACCCACACCAGCCTGGACATCACTGCCTTCACCTGGCTCCACCCACACCAGCCTGGATATCACTGCCTTCACCTGGCTCCACCCACACCAGCCTGGACATCACTGCCTTCACCTGGCTCCACCTGACTCCACCCACATCAGCCTGGATATCACTGCCTTCACCTGGCTCCACCTGGCTCCACCCACATCAGCCTGGATATCACTGCCTTCACCTGGCTCCACCCACACCAGCCTGGATATCACTGCCTTCACCTGGCTCCACCCACATCAGCCTGGATATCACTGCCTTCACCTGGCTCCACCTGGCTCCACCCACACCAGCCTGGACATCACTGCCTTCACCTGGCTCCACCCACACCAGCCTGGACATCACTGCCTTCACCTGGCTCCACCCACACCAGCCTGGACATCACTGCCTTCACCTGGCTCCACCTGGCTCCACCCACATCAGCCTGGATATCACTGCCTTCACCTGGCTCCACCTGGCTCCACCCACACCAGCCTGGATATCACTGCCTTCACCTGGCTCCACCCACATCAGCCTAGATATCACTGCCTTCACCTGGCTCCACCCACAGCAGTCTGGATATCACTGCCTTCACCTGGCTCCACCTGGCTCCATCTGCATCCCCATGGCTCCACCTGGTTCCCTCTGCCTTCCATCACTGATAACAAACCCCTCTGCCAGGGACTTTGTAACTTTGCCAAAATCATAATAGACCTGTGCCCGCCATCGGAATGTGGAATTTCCACCACCGTCTCGGTGCTGTTAACGATCAAAGGTGTCACGTCCAATGGCAGCGCTATCACGCAGACTGATGATCCGCAGTGAGAGTGAAGCTGGCTCACAGTGGTGAGGTAGAGTCGGGGGCTACGCTGTGCCAGCGGTCAGGGTATGATGGCCGAGACTGATGTCGCGGTGGCGAGGAGATGTCAACTACCTCGCCTGCTGGTGTACAGGAGGCCGTGGGTTCGATCCCGACCCTGGCGCCTGCTGCTGTCTATTTGGAGTTCGTCTGTCTCTCTCCCGTGGTTGTGTGGATTTGTCTCCGGGTCCTCCGGTTTCCCCCTCTACATTGAGAATCAACGTCACGCGTTTATAGTATTTGGCTGCTCTACATTCTCCACGTGGTGATAAGCCAATTCATTGAGCTTTCAATTGTGGTCGCCAGGTCGCTTCTAAAAAACAACAGCTACATAGCCCAGTTCGGGCCTTACCTGGGAAAACTAAATAAAAAAAATTTGTTTAGTTTAATAGTTTAACGCCGGAGCAGCAACCACAGGAGGGAATTGCCGACAGAGATGGTAGCAAGCTCGAGAGAGCATCCATGCGGGTGCCACGTGGATCGTGACATCGTAGCGACGGCTTGGGGAGGCCTTCATCCAGCGGTGGATTGATCACGGTTGATGGCGATGCTGTCGATGGTTTCATGCGCGTCCTTCGAATTCGTCGTGATTTAGCGGAGCTCTACTGCGCGACTAACCTCGCGAACCCAGATTCGATTCCCAACAACACCGGTGACGATTATCTGAACCGGTCCTGGGCCTCCCCTAGGTCGACTCGGCCTCAAATGAGTAGCTGGTGCGATGTGTAAATATCGCCACGATGGAGACAAAGGCGGCCGGGCGTGGTGTTGGCCACCCATTCCCTCGTGTGCAGTGCCGGCCTTCATAGGAGCTACTCGCTAACAGCACTTGCCCCAACAGTCTGTTAGGGCTACACGGGGGATCTTTGTCTGCAAGTGACGCGACACACAGTGACTCCGCTGCACAGTCTCCATTTATTCACAAAGCCGGACAGCGCGCGTCGTACGCGCAGGCAGCACGTGGCAGTGGACACCCCACGTGACAGTGGACACCCAGGGTCTGTCCCACGTGGTAGTGGACACCCAGGGTCTGTCCCACGTGGTAGTGGACACCCAGGGTCTGTCCCACGTGGTAGTGGACACCCCACGTGGTAGTGGACACCCCACGTGGTAGTGGACACCGAGGGTCTGTCCCACGTGACAGTGGACACCCCACGTGGTAGTGGACACCCTAGGTTGTGCCCCCACCACCCCGTACTCCGCTCCTCCTCACGCGCGTCGCAGTTCCGCATGCTCTGCAGTCTCATAAAGCCTGGCCATAGGATTAGAGAAAAAAATGCAGAGGGTACAATCCGATCGGAGTATTGTAGATCGGTGTAGCGCCCAACGAGTGACCTTCGCCGATTATTATCCTGACCCCATGCCAGCCCCCGCGGGTGTTCTGGCGAATACCGAGAGAGAAGTGAAGCCCCTGGGGTCACAACCCACCGCTCGGTACGCGTTTCCATGGCCACCACCCGGCTCCCGTTTAAAGACGAACAGTCCCGCCGCGTGCTGCACTCGCCTGACGATCGCTCAACGCGCCGCGCGATCAGCGACTCGGGTGTTGAATCGGCACCACTGCCCCGCGTGGCCTTCATAGACTGCTGGCGCCAGTGCTGTTAGCGAGCGCGTACCAAGGCCTGCGCGGGTTACGAGGCGCTGGTGCGGCTACTGATTTAAGGTAGACGGGGCACGGCCAGGAATCCGATTCGCGAAGCTATCGCTCGTCCCTCTCGTCTCGGCAGACCGGCGCCTCCGCACTCGCTTGCGGCTGTGAGAGAGCGGCGTTTAATCTGAGATTTGCACGTAACAGCAATTCGGCGCGAAACGCAAACACGGCACAACGTCTCATATCCGTCCATCGCACGTCCGGACTCGGGCAATCGAGCCGCCCACGCACAGCGCAGCATGCGTGCGTGACGAGGCCGGCACTTCCCGCAGACGTTCGCACATCAGACCTTTTCACAAATCCTCCTGTACCCCTGGATACTCGATGGACACATGCAGCGCACCTGCCCGCCCAAGCGCGACGTCGTCCACGGTGCAGTCGCGTGCCCGGCGTACGCGCGATGTAGCCGCTGCCACCACGCCAAACGCACGCACGCCTCGACACGCGCCGGGGGGGCACACCGCGCTCGAGCGTGAGCGCGTCCATGAGCGTGAGCGCGTGCATGAGCATGTGAGTGCATGAGCGAGTGCATGAGCGTGTGCATGAGCATGAGCGTGTGCATGAGCGTGAGCATGAGCGTGTGCATGAGCGTGAGCGCGTGCATGAGCGTGAGCATGAGCGCGTGCATGAGCGTGTGCGTGAGCGTGTGCGTGAGCGTGTGAGTGCGTGCGTTAGCGTGAGCCTGTGCATGAGCGTGTGCGTGAGCGTGTGCATGAGCGTGTGCGTGAGCATGCGTGCGTGCGAGTGCGTGAGTGCGCACGAGGTTCGACGCGCGGAGCCGCTACGCCCGCCACTTGCTGCCAAAATTATATATATATTTCACTACGCGACTAAAAAGAGTGACCCGCGGTTAATAACAAAATACCGCACGATCTACGAGTGTATAAAAAAACAACACAAAGGCCACAGTATATAAACGCGACGCATACAAAAAAAAGGCCAACGAGAGAAATGCGGTCGTTCAATTTCAGGCATCGTGTCAAAAATAAATACTTTTTTTGTCCACAACAACAAATGCTTTTGCATTGTAAATATATATGGATATATGTATAAAACTACGTCGCTAAAGCCACGTTCTAGTCTTGCATAAGGAAAACGTCCGCAGTGGAGGCAAAAGGCACCCGGCTGCAGCAAAGTCAGGATTGAGCGACATGGAGCTGGGATTGGGAATGTGACAGCAGATTTGGGAATGTGGGAGCTGGTTTTGGGAACGTGGGAGCTGGGTTTTGGAACGTGGGAGCTGGGTTTTGGAACGTGGGACATACATCAGGGAATATCCGCTCAGGCCATCACGCAGCCCTTGCTGCTCGTTCCATCTCCGCGTCGGCGGTTCTTGCCCCTGCGGCTAGGAGTCGGAGCGGCGAGCGGTGACGACGACGGCGCAGGGGCGGCGGCGGCGGCCTGCGCCGCGCCGCCCACCACCTCGTCGTGCGTGACGTAGCGCAAGCGCGGGACGCGCGTTCCGGGAATCGGCTCCCCGAGGAAGTAGCCCTCCTCCTCCTCGTCGGACGAGGAGGAGGTGGTGGAGGTGGATGAGTCCGTGTCAGAGGAGGCGTGGTCACAGCCCGTCTCTCCTCGCTCGCAGCCGAGGCGCCGGCGGTGGTCGTGACGGTGTCTGCGCTGGCGGCTGTAGCGATGGTGTCGGCCGTGACGGCGGCGGTGGCGGTCGTCGCTGTTGTCGCCGCCGGTGCCGCCGGAGTGACAACAACCGCCGCCGCCGTCCGCGGCGTCGTCGGCTCGCGCGGCTCCGCCCGACGGAGGCTCCGACCCCCGGGCGGGCTCGGCTCCGCCGCGATCCACGCTCGGCGCCGGAGCCGGTGCCGGCACGACTCCGCGCGGCAGGGAGCACGAGCGCCGCAGCGGTTCGGCATTGGCCGGGCCCTGCCGGGGAGGCCGGACAAGAGGCTCGGCTCCACGTGGCTCCGCTCGCCCGTTCCACCGGTGCTGGCGGGAGTCGCAGCTGTGCGCGCGACGGAGGGCGGCGCCGCTCCCCCGCCGCTCCTCCCTCTCCGGTTCGTCGCCCGCCAACTTCACCTCCCGACTGCGCTGCCGACCGCGGTCCCGCCCATCCTCGCCCGTTTCCGCCGGCGCCTCCATTTCCTCGCTCCAAGCGGACTCCGCCGGGCCCTCACCGCGACCGTCGTCGTCGTCACGACCGGGCGAAGCGGTCCCGCCGGCCGTGGCGGGCACTGGCGAGCTCGTCACCGTGATCTGCCCGCCGGCGGCGCCGACACTGGCGGCGCCGCCGGGGGGCGCGGCGAACATCCCGGGCTGCGACGGGCCCGACGTGTCGCTGTCGGAGAGCTCCAGCGAGGGCCGGCTCCAGTCCGCGTGCGCCGCGCCGCCCGTGGGGGGCGGCCTTTTCGGCGGCCCCGCGGCCCGGCGGCGCCTCTCCGGGGAGGGGGTGCGCGCGCCCAGGCAGGCGCCCCGATGGCGCGGGGCGCCGCCCGGCGGCCCCGGGCCGAGATCCGACACGGGCGGCGGCGCGGACCGGCCGGCCTGGGCGCCGCCCCTCGCCCTCCTACCCCGCCGGGCCGAGCCCCGCAGGCCCTGGAGCGGGAGGGGCGGCACCACGGCGGCGGCCGAGGAGTCCGACTCGGTGTCGCCGGGCGCCGGCGCCGGCGGGGCCCCCGGGGCCGCATTGGCCGCCCGGCTGCAGGCCTTGGAGCAGAAGATGGCGCCCTGGCGTGGCAGGAAGGGGGCGCCCAGCAGCGGCGCGTGGCAGCGTGCGCAGCTGAAGCACTCGGCGCGCGCGTGCCAGTGCTGCCCGTCGTGCGTCATCTGGCCCTCGTCGGCTCCTGTGGACGGCGCACGCACACACACACATACACGCACACATACACGCACACACACATACACGCACACACGCACACACACACGCAGACGTACACACGCACACTCAACCGTGCGCGTGTACACACAAGGGACACAAAACAAAGACCTCCCCGAATAGCCTAAACAGTGTTTGAACAAGTGCTGTTAACGAGCACCTATGAAGGCCGGCATGGCACAAGAGCCTTTGTCTTCCTAGTGGCGATGTTTACACATTGCACCAGGTACTCATTTGAGGCTGAGTCGACCTTGGGGAGGCCCAGGATAATCGTCACTGGTGTCGACCGTGAGCGGGAATCAAACTCGGACTACCGCGTTCGTAGCGCAGCGCGCTAACCGCTACACCACCACTCCTCAAACACACCCAAGGAACACACACGCCCGCACCGCGCACGCGCAACACGTGTACCCGTCTGCACATTGGCCTTGGCCATCAGTTATCCACTGCTGGATGAACAGCTTCGGACTTCGATGAACGTTACTTATACCCCGTGCGAACGAGCAAACCCGCCAGCGACGGCGCCTGCCCCCCACCCTCGCTCCCCCCCCACCCTCGCTCCCCCCCCCCTCTCTTCCCTGAGCGGGGGCGGCGCTGGGCGCACAGAGAACCCCATCGCTCATTGGCACCACGACAAAGTCAATTTAACGCAAGTGCACCTACATGTGTAAAGCGCTTGCGGGCGCCGCTCGCCCGGCGACTGCGCTGGCGACGTACGCCATACGTCACCGCCGCCCCGGTGTTCGGCGCTCCCCGGTTTCGTTTCGCCGCCGGCGCGCGTTGCCGTCTCGTTTTCTCCGAGCGCCATTTGTCACCGGGGGGCGGGGGGTGCGGTGGGGGGGGGTCGCCAAATTTTCCTCCCGGCGACGCACAGCTCACCGTGGAAAAATATTTAAATCACTCCCCGATTTGAACGCGGACCACGCGACCCTCCGGGGTCGTCAAGCGACGCAGAATCCATTGTGAACTCGGCGACCCCCCCCCCTCCGTGCGAGTAAAAAGCCCCTGCGGAAGTGGGTGTCACAGAGCTACCTCTGAGATCCACTGGAGCGCCACGGTGGCGAGATGTTAACTACCTCGCCTGGTATACAAGAGGTCCCAACCCTGACGCCTGCTGCTGTATATGTGGAGTTTGCGTGTCTCTCTCGCTCTCTCCCCGTCGTCACGCTCATCCCCGTCACGCTCATTCCCGACACGTTCATCGTCGGTGCGCTCATCCCCGGCACTGGCCATCGGCGCGGTGATTACACGCGGGATTAGACGGTGTTTACTCTGCATCACGTTCGTTAAATAAGAGCTAGGTTTCTAATCGCACGCGATATTACAACTTAATCTCCAGAAATTATATTCGGCGAATAATTTATAAAGTCAACAATAACGAAGCGCGGCCCCAGCGGGCCCCCCTCTCCTCACACGGAGATGCAGATGCCGTGTGATGTCAGAGACCGTTGGGAGACGTCTCACGAATGTCAAACGCCACGCAACTTTAATTCAAACATCGCTTTGGAAATGCACGAGAATACGTCGTGTTTAAGGGTAATCTATACACCCAAGGGGGCCTTTGTCACGTGATGTCATGTACAGCCCTTGATCGATGCATTGTTTGGAACTGGACAATGCATGTTGGTGAGGGGGGGGGGTCCAGAACCGATTTGGATATCACGACACCACCCATGTTAGCTGGTAGGGTTCATAGCCCAATGTGCTAACCACTGCGCCACCACTCCGGCCGAAAATTTGTTTTATTTCAGCGGAAGCCGAGCAGGAATCGAACCTAGGTCGCCAGGTTTGCAGCGCAGCGAGCTAACCGCTACACTCTCCACCACCACTACCAACACCACCAACCCTCCTCAACCACCACCACCGACGCCACCACCATCACCCCTACACTTCAGCCAGCGGGCATCTCCGCTATCCTATTCGGCGTGGCGGTCGTTTGGCCGCGTGCGTGGGCACGTGCGTGCGTGGGCACGTGCGTGCGTGGGCACGTGCGTGCGTGGGCACGTGCGGACGGGCGCCTACCGATCTGGGAGCCGCACGCGTCGCAGTAGACCGAGTAGAGCGCCTGGTGGCACGCGACGCAGTGGGGGCGGCCGTCGCGCATCAGGTAGCGCGCGCCGGCCAGCGCCGCCTCGCACTCGAAGCAGCAGAAGTGGTCGCGGTGCCAGCAGCGGCCCTCGGCCTGCACGCACTCCTCCTGGAAGATCAGCTGCGCGGACACAGACACGCAGGGTCGCCCCGCGGAGCCTCGAGCGCGCGGAGACAACAGGCACGGCACTCCGCGTATGAACATTAACGCACGGGCCCCCCCGCGGAGCCTCGACGGACAATCGGGGCGAATGCCGGCAGCGAGCACCGATTAAGGCCGGCACGGCGCACGAGCAGGGGTGGTGCTGATCGTGCCGGTCTTAGTAGGTGGTCGCCCCAACAGCCCGTCAGAGCAGTGGTTGTCAACCTTGTCTGGCCACTACTCTAAACCCCCCCTTGTTACATTTTGTTTCAACCGAGTACCCGCACCCCCCCTCCCGCACCCCCTCTTGCCTGACCCAACGTGGTTCTGAGAAATAAATGCATGAATCACGAACATCGATATTTTTTTACCAATTGTCCATTTTGTGAGGATAAGTAACTGCAAGCGAATAATACACTAACAACATTCAACGGACGGTTGAAAGGTCTTTTCATCCACGCGGATTGAAATCGTGTCGTGGATTATTCCGCATCGGACATGGTGAGACAGGCGACGGTTCACCAACGCGACATCGTTTCACGCGTTTACGATGTCGCCCCACGTACGCGCACCCCCCCCCCCCCCGGGGGACATTGCCACGTAACCCCTGCCCCCCCCGGGCCAGGGGGTCCACGTACCCCCTCCCGGTGGGGTGCGAGGGTGGAGGGGTGCGAGGGTGGAGGGGTGGAGGGGTGCGAGGGTGGAGGGGTGCGTGGGTGGAGGGGTGTGGGGGGTGGAGGGTGGTGGGTGGAGGGGTGTGTGGGTGGAAGGGTGGGTGGGGTGGAGGGTTGTGGGGGTGGAGGGGTGGAGGGTGCGAGGGTGAGGGGGTGTGGTCGGTGAGGTGGTGGGGGTGGAGGGGTGTGGGGGTGGAGGGGTTGTGGTGAGGGTTGGGAGGTGAAGGGGTGTGGGGTGGAGGGGTGTGTTGGGTGGAGGGGTGGGGTGGGTGGAGGGGTGTGTGGGGTGAAGGGGTTGTGTGGGTGGAAGGGTGTGTGGTGTGGAGGGTTGTGGGGTGGAAGGGGTGTAGGGGTGCGAGGGTGGAGGTGTGTGGGGCGAGGGTGCGAGGTGGTGGAGGGGTGGACGGGGTGCGAGGGTGGAGGGGTGCGTGGGTGGAGGGGTGTGGGGTGGAGGGGTGTGGGGGTGGAGGGGTGTGTGGGTGGAGGGGTGTGTGGGTGGAGGGATGTGTGGGTGGAGGGGTGTGGGGTGGAGGGGTGTGGGGGTGGAGGGGTGTGTGGGTGGAGGGGTGTGTGGGTGGAGGGGTGTGGGGGTGGAGGGGAGCGTCGTCTTCGCGCGCCGCCGGTGCCCTCGCCGTGGCCGCACCTCGTCGCAGGCGGCGCAGCGTGGCTTGCTGCGCTCGGCGTGGTGCCGGCCGCAGTAGACGGCGCCGTCGGCGTAGAAGTAGACGAGGTCCACGAGCAGCTCGCGGCAGGCGGCGCAGGCGAAGCAGCCGGGGTGCCAGCTGGCCGCGGGGCCGGCGCGCGCCGCACACACGGCCAGGGAGCCGGGCCCCACCGTGCCTCCGCACTGCACGGACACGCGGCGGTGGGCGGGGGGGGGGGCAGGGTGACGAACGCAGACGCGGTGGGGGGGGCGGGGGTTGGTGGCACGCGCAGCACGGGCGGCCAAACACGCTGGAGCCGCGTTGGCGCTCGCGCTCTACGCGCACGTCGCCGCCGACCCCTCGACCCCTAAAAACAAACCCGTGACCTCGAAACGACCTCGAGCCCTCAACCCCACGATCGCCAAAGCACGCGCACGGCAATCACGCTCCCTCTCCGACCAGGGGTTCACCCCGGCGGGTGCCGTCCGGGTCGGCGGGCTGGCACACCGCACCCGGCGGGCTGGAACACCGCACCCGGCGGGCTACTCGCGGCGGCCGCGGCCTAGGCCGGGGCCTCCGAACCTCTGAGCCCCCCCCGAACCCGACCCCCCCCCCCCCGACCCCAGATCCCGGTTATCCGGCGGAAGGCCTCACCTGGCGGCACACGGAGCCGGCTCCGGTGGGTGGGACCACTCGCACCGCGCCGCGCCCCAGCGCCTCCCTTTGCCGCGCTGCGGTGAAGGAGCGCAGCGCTCGCTCGCCGGCGGCGTCCAGCGACGAGCAGTAGCGCGGCTGCGGACGCGACGACAACGATGACGACGATGACAACAATAACAACGATGATAACGACGATGACAACAACGTCGACAACGATGATAACGACGACAACGAGTATTTGGCCGCTGTAAATTTCCACGCGATGATATGGCCACTTCGTTAAGCTATCATTTGAGATGGCCAGCTCGCTTCTGAAAAGGAGCTACATAGCTCAGTGGGGCCTTGCCTAGTAAAATAAAAAAAGTTTTAGTAACTAGCTCAACAGAGATTGCGGGCGAGCGAGCAGGCGGGCGAGCGGACAAGTGGGGCGGTCACTTCGTGAGCAGGTGAGCGGGCGGGCGGGTGAGCGGGCGGGCGGGTGAGCGGGCGGGCGGGCGAGCGGGCGAGCGGGCGGGCGGGCGAGCGGGTGGGCGGGTGGGCGGGTGAGCAGGTGAGCGGGTGGGCGGGTGAGCAGGTGAGTGGGTGGGCGGGTGAGCAGGTGAGCGGGTGAGCGGTTGGGTGGGCGGGCGGGTGAGCGGGTGAGCGGGCAGGCGAGCGAGCGGTCACCTCGTGGTCGTGTGGCGGGAGCTGGCGCAGCAGCTGGCGCACGCGGTGACGCTCGCCGACGCTGCTCACCAGCGGCACGCGGTCCTCGGGGAGTGCGCGAAAATAGCGCTGCACCTACGGGATGCGGGGAGACGCGGGGAGACACGGAGAGACACAGGGGAGAAGCGGGGAGATGCAGAGAGATGCGGGGAGATGCGGGGAGATGCGGGGAGATGCGAAAAGACATGTGAAGACACACGGGAGACACGGGAGACGTGGGGAGACACGGGGAAATACAGGCGGGGACACGGCGGGGGGGGGGGGGGGGGAACACAGTGAGACACAGGGAGACACAGGGAGACACAGGGAAAGACACGGCAGAGACAGGGCAGAGACACGGGAGATCAAACCAGGCTATCAAGTGCATTGCCTATCCTGTCTTCTCCAGAGTAGCTGTCCTCATCTGGCAACAACAACTAAACTCCTTCCCACATCTCTCCCTCGACGTGCGGGTGGTGTTCTTCGCGTAGAGAACGCTTTGCTTTGTACGAGGAGGAGGGGCAGGGGGGGGGCAGATACGGGGAAGGGGGGGGGGGCGCGGCTCCGTTATTTCTATCAATGGAACAGAACGAACGCACGCGCGCAACGGCGCTATTAGCCGGGGCGGCCCGCCGGAACCGAACCTCTAGAGCGGCGGCAGCGCGTCGGCGCTCGCTCGTCAAGGCCACCGGTGAGCGCTGATTCACCGGCGCTCGTTTAACCAGGCGGGGGGCGGGGGGGTGCGGCGGCAGGGGGCGAGTAGGGGGGGGGGCCCATTGAGATTCATGATCTCCTTTTCAGGAGCAACCGTGCGTCACCATGGCTACGCAGAGCCCGCCGATTTAATTTCATTCAAACTTTGCAAAACGGAGCAATAATTGCGATGGGACGGCAAGTGATTGCACAGCATGAGTGTGTGTGCACGTGCTGTGTGTGTGTGTACGTGGTGTGTGTGTGTGTGTACGTGGTGTGTGTGTGTGCACGTGCTGTGTGTGTGTGTGTACGTGCTGTGTGTGTGTGTGTGTACGTGGTGTGTGTGTGTGCACGTGCTGTGTGTGTGCGTGTGTGTACGTGGTGTGTGTGCACGTGCTGTGTGTGTGTGTGCGTGGTGTGTGTGTGTACATGGTGTGTGTGCACGTGTTGTGTGTGTGTGTACGTGTGTGTGTGTGCACGTGGTGTGTGTGTGTATGGGGTGTGTGCGTACGTGCTGTGTGTGTGTGTGTACGTGGTGTGTGTACGTGGTGTGTGTGTGCAGTGGTGTGTGTGTGTACGTGGTGTGTGTGCGTACGTGCTGTGTGTGTGTGTAGTGGTGTGTGTGTGTGTGTGTACGTGGTGTGGTGTGGTACATGGTGGGTGTGTGTGTGTGTACGTGGTGTTGTGGTGTGTGTACGTGGTGTGTGTACGTGGTGTGTGTGTGTACGTGGTGTGTGTGTAGTGTGTGTGTGTGTATTTACGTGGTGTGTGTGTACGTGCTGTGTGTGTGTACGTGCTGTGTGTGTGTACGTGCTGTGTGTGTGTGTGTATTTCTGTGGTGTGTGTCCGTGCTGTGTGTGTACGTGGTGTGTGTGTGTATTTCTGTGGTGTGTGTGCACGTCGTGTGTGTGTGTATTACGTGTGTGTGTACGTGGTGTGTATATATTTACGCGGTGTGTGTGTGTACGTGCTGTGTGTGTGTGTATTTCTGTGGTGTGTGTGTACGTGGTGTGTGTACGTGGTATGTGTATGTATTTACATGTGTGTGTATTTACATGTGTGTGTGTACGTGGTGTGTGTGTGTATTTACGTTGTGTGTGTGTGTATTTCTGTGGTGTGTGTGTGCACGTGGTGTGTGTGCACGTGGTGTGTGTGCACGTGGTGTGTGTGTGCACGTGGTGTGTGTGTATTTCTGTGGTGTGTGTACGTGGTGTGTGTGTACGTGGTGTGTGTGTATTTACGTAGAGTGTGTGTATTTACGTGGTGTGTGTGTATGTGGTGTGTGTGTATTTACGTGCTGTGTGTGTGTGTATTTACGTGCTGTGTGTGTGTGTATTTACGTGGTGTGTGTGTACGTGCTGTGTGTGTGTACGTGGTGTGTGTGTGTGTGTACGTGGTGTACGTGGTGTGTGTACGTGGTGTGTGTAAGTGGTGTGTGTGTGTACGTGGTGTGTGTGCGTGTACGTGGTGTGTGTGCGTGTACGTGGTGTGTGTGCGTGTACGTGGTGTGTGTGCGTGTGTACGCGGTGTGTGTGTATTTACGTGGTATGTGTGTGTACGTGTGTGTATTTATGTGGTATGTGTGTGTGTACATGCTGTGCGTGTGTGTACGTGCTGTGTGTGTGTACGTGTTGTGTGTGTGTGTACATGCTGTGTGTGTGTGTATTTACATGCTGTGTGTGTGTACATGCTGTGTGTGTGTATGTGCTGTGTGTGTGTACGTGCTGTGTGTGTACGTGCTGTGTGTGTGTACGTGCTGTGTGTGTGTACGTGCTGTGTGTGTGTACATGCTGTGTGTGTGTGTACGTGCTGTGTGTGTGTGTGTGTGTACGTGCTGTGTGTGTGTATTTACGTGGTGTGTGTGTGTACATGCTGTGTGTGTGTACATGCTGTGTGTGTGTGTGTGTACGTGCTGTGTGTGTGTACGTGCTGTGTGTGTGTATGTACATGCTGTGTGTGTGTACGTGCTGTGTGTGTGTACGTGCTGTGTGTGTGTACGTGCTGTGTGTGTGTGTGTACGTGCTGTGTGTGTGTGTACGTGCTGTGTGTGTGTGTGTACATGCTGTGTGTGTGTATGTGCTGTGTGTGTACGTGCTGTGTGTGTGTGTACGTGGTGTGTGTACGTGGTGTGTGTGTGTACGTGGTGTGTGTGTGTGTACGTGGTGTGTGTGTATTTACGTGGTGTGTGTGTACGTGCTGTGTGTGTGTACGTGCTGTGTGTGTGTATTTCTGTGGTGTGTGTCCGTGCTGTGTGTGTACGTGGTGTGTGTGTGTATTTCTGTGGTGTGTGTGCACGTGGTGTGTGTGTGTATTTACGTGTGTGTGTACGTGGTGTGTATATATTTACGCGGTGTGTGTGTGTACGTGCTGTGTGTGTGTGTATTTCTGTGGTGTGTGTGTACGTGGTGTGTGTACGTGGTATGTGTATGTATTTACATGTGTGTGTATTTACATGTGTGTGTGTACGTGGTGTGTGTGTGTATTTACGTTGTGTGTGTGTGTATTTCTGTGGTGTGTGTGTGCACGTGGTGTGTGTGCACGTGGTGTGTGTGTGCACGTGGTGTGTGTGTATTTCTGTGGTGTGTGTACGTGGTGTGTGTGTACGTGGTGTGTGTATTTACGTAGTGTGTGTGTATTTACGTGGTGTGTGTGTATGTGGTGTGTGTGTATTTACGTGCTGTGTGTGTGTGTATTTACGTGCTGTGTGTGTGTGTATTTACGTGGTGTGTGTGTACGTGCTGTGTGTGTGTGTACGTGGTGTGTGTGTGTGTACGTGGTGTACGTGGTGTGTGTACGTGGTGTGTGTACGTGGTGTGTGTGCGTGTACGTGGTGTGTGTGCGTGTACGTGGTGTGTGTGCGTGTACGTGGTGTGTGTGAGTGTGTACGCGGTGTGTGTGTATTTACGTGGTATGTGTGTGTACGTGTGTGTATTTATGTGGTATGTGTGTGTGTACATGCTGTGCGTGTGTGTGTACGTGCTGTGTGTGTGTACGTGTTGTGTGTGTGTGTGTATGTACATGCTGTGTGTGTGTATTTACATGCTGTGTGTGTGTACATGCTGTGTGTGTGTATGTGCTGTGTGTGTGTACGTGCTGTGTGTGTACGTGCTGTGTGTGTGTACGTGCTGTGTGTGTGTACGTGCTGTGTGTGTGTACATGCTGTGTGTGTGTGTACGTGCTGTGTGTGTGTATGTGTACGTGCTGTGTGTGTGTATTTACGTGGTGTGTGTGTGTGTACATGCTGTGTGTGTGTACATGCTGTGTGTGTGTGTACGTGCTGTGTGTGTGTACGTGCTGTGTGTGTGTATGTACATGCTGTGTGTGTGTACGTGCTGTGTGTGTGTACGTGATGTGTGTGTGTACGTGCTGTGTGTGTGTGTGTACGTGCTGTGTGTGTGTGTGTACGTGCTGTGTGTGTGTGTGTACATCTGTGTGTGTGTGTATGTGCTGTGTGTGTACGTGCTGTGTGTGTGTGTACGTGCTGTGTGTGTGTGTACGTGCTGTGTGTGTGTACGTGCTGTGTGTGTGTACGTGCTGTGTGTGTGTGTACATGCTGTGTGTGTGTGTACATGCTGTCTGTGTGTATATGCTGTGTATGTGTGTGTACATGCTGTGTGTGTGTATTTACGTGCTGTGTGTGTGTGTACATGCTGTGTGTGTGTGTACGTGCTGTGTGTGTGTACATGCTGTGTGTGTGTGTACGTGCTGTGTGTGTGTGTGTACGTGCTGTGTGTGTATGTGCTGTGTGTGTGTGCTGTGGGTGTGTACGTGCTGTGTGTGTACGTGCTGTGTGTGTGTACGTGCTGTGTGTGTGTATGTGCTGTGTGTGTACATGCTGTGTGTGTGTGTATTTACGTGCTGTGTGTGTACATGCTGTGTGTGTGTATTTACGTGCTGTGTGTGTGTATGTACATGCTGTGTGTGTGTGTGTGTACGTGCTGTGTGTGTGTGTACGTGCTGTGTGTGTGTGTATTTACATGGTGTGTGTGCGCAGATGGGGATCGGTAGTGTAGCGGTTAGCGCGCTGCGCTATCAACCTAGCGACCCGATTCGATTCCCACTCACTGCCAATACCAGTGATGACTATCTGAACCAGTCTTGGGCCTCCCCTCGGTCGACTCAGCCTCAAAAATTGGTGCGATGTGTAAACATCGCTACTCGGGAGACAAAGGCGGCCAGGCACGGTGCAGGCCACCTACTCCCTCGTATACCATGCCGGACTTCATAGGTGCTACTCGCTAACAGCACTTGTCTTTGAAGGCTATATAGGGGATCTTGGCATTTGTCTTTTTGTGTGTGTGCCAGGCACGCTGAGGAGAGGCTTGCGGAGCCCCAATGCGGTTTCAGGAAAGAGCGGTCCTGCACAGATGCCATATTTTCTGTCCGTCTGCTACAGCAGAGGTGTAGGGAATTCCAACAAGACCAACATCTCTGCTTTATTGACCTGGTCAAGGCCTATGATACCATCAGTAGGCATGGGCTCTGGGTTGTTCTTCGTGCTTTCGGAGTCTCTGACCCTCTGCTCATGATCATTAAGGACCTACATGATGGTGAGCGGGCCCGGGTAAAACTACATGGCCGGGAGTCGGAGGCATTCCCTGTACACCTTGGGGTGCGACAGGGATGTCCTCTGACTCCCACATTATTTAACATCTATTTTGACCACGTAGTTCGTGAAGCCTTCAATAGCTGTACTGGATGAATTTCCATTTGGTTCAGATATAATGGGAGGCTGATGGATGCCTAGGTGCGGTCAATGGATGGCTCCCTATTGCTCAACCACGTTATGTATGCCGATGATCTGGTAATTCATGCTCTCTCAGAGGAGGAGTTGGAGGCGCTGCTGCTGAACCTGGAGCTTGCCACCAAGAGGTGGGGCCTTATCATCAGCCCCACCAAAACTAAGCACCTGCCTGGGTATTTTGTGCCATCGGACATTCCACCCCCACAACTCCCAATTAGTGGTAGGGCAGTTGTGGAAAGAGTGGAGAGTTTCCCATACCTTGGCAGTGTGCTCATGACTGACTCCGATTTAACAGCAGAGGTCTCACTCCGAATTAGTCGAGCGGCATTATCTTTTCATCGGTTGCGTAATGCTGTGTGGAAGCTACCTGGTCTAGCACTCCGCACGAATTTTCAGGTCTTCTCGGCCATGGTCATTCCCTCCCTTCTCTACGCTTGCGAAACGTGGATCCCCCCTAATGGAACATCTTTACCGGTTAGAAACATTTAGGCTGGCCTGCCTACGATCCATCCTGGGTTTAACCAGGCTGGATTGTGTGAGGAGCTCACAAATCCTTGAAAGATGTGGACAAAGTCCCTTCGATGAACTCCTCCGCCAGGCAAGGCTGCGTTGGCTGGGTCATGTAGCCTGCATGCCCAGCCACCGCATGCCTAAACAGCTTTTGTTCGTCGGATCGAGGGGGCTAAACGGGTGCGGCACAGGCTAGAGAAGAGATGGAGTGATGTCGTACAGGAAGACGTGGAGCTGAGTGGACTTGCCGATGACTGGTACCAGCGGTGTCAAGATCGGCCGCTGTGGAGGAGGCTCGTGAAGGACGCTACTGGGCAGTTGGAGGCGGTCGCCCTCCAACAACAACGGAGGGCGGAGGAGCAATGCTCACAACAATGAGCGGAGCGCCGGGTGGCTAAAGCACAGCAAGTTGGCACAGTAGGGAGCACAGGTGGTGCATCACCCAGTCATCTCGGTCATCTCAGTCAGTCGACCCGTGGCACCTGGGTCTGACCCGTGACCTCCTGCCAGCGGGCGTTCGACACTTCACGTGGCCTCAAGGAGCACATAGCCTGGCACAAGCGTCGTGGTGACGTCACCGCCACTTAGTGGCGAATGGCGGTTGTTGTTGTCTGTGTGCGTGCGTGCCTGTGTGCGTGCGTGTCTGTGTGCGTGCGTGTCTGTGTGCGTGCGTGCCTGTGTGCGTGCGTGCCTGTGTGCGTGCGTGCCTGTGTGCGTGCGTGCCTGTGTGCGTGCGTGTCTGTGTGCGTGCGTGCCTGTGTGCGTGTGCGTGTCTGTGTGAGTGCGTGTCTGTGTGTGTGCGTGCCTGTCTGTGTGCGTGCGTGTCTGTGTGCGTGTCTGTGTGCGTGTCTGTGTGTGTGTGTGCGTGTCTGTGTGTCTGTGTGTGTCTGTGTGCATGCGTGCGTCTCCATGTGCGTGCGTGTCCGTGTGCGTGCGTGTCTGTGTGTGTGCGTGTCTGTGTGCGTGTTTGTGTGTGTGCGTGTCTGTGTGCGTGTCTGTGTGTGTGTGTGTGTGTGCGTGTCTGTGTGCGTGCGTGTCTGTGTGTCTGTGTGTGTCTGTGTGCATGCGTGCGTCTCCATGTGCGTGCGTGTCTGTGTGCATGCGTGTCTGTGTGCGTGCCTGTGTGTGTGTGCGTGTCTGTGTGCATGTCTGTGTGTGTGCGTGTCTGTGTGCGTGTCTGTGTGCGTGCGTCTCCATGTGCGTGTCTGTGTGCGTGTCTGTGTGTGTGCGTGTCTGTGTGCGTGTCTGTGTGTGTGCGTGTCTGTGCGCGTGTCTGTGTGCGTGCGTCTCCATGTGCGTGTCTGTGTGCATGTCTGTGTGTGTGTGCATGCGTCTCCATGTGCGTGTCTGTGTGCGTGTCTGTGTGTGTGCGTGTCTGTGTGCGTGCGTGTCTGTGTGCGTGTCTGTGTGTGTGCGTGTGTGTGTGTGCGTGTCTGTGTGCGTGTCTGTGTGCGTCTCCATGTGCGTGCGTGTCCGCCCCACCTGCTCGGGGGTGAGGCCGGGCGGCGCCCACACCAGCTCCTCAAGTGCACACCCCGAGTCATCGTCAGAGCCGCCCCCCCCTCTCTCCGTCTCCCCGGCAACTGTCACCATGGCGACGGCGTGCTCCTCGCGCGCACACCGGCAGTGAACGCACACCTTCCTGTGAACGCACACACCCGCACAGAGACAAAGATCCGTCATATACCCTCGATAGACTTGTGGGGGCAAGTCCTGTTAGCGAGTAGCACCTATGAAGGCCGGCACGGCACACGAGGTGGTGGGTGGTCAGCACCGTGCCCGGCCACCTTTGTCTCCCCAGTGGCGATGTTCACAAACCCCACCAGGTACTCATTTGAGGCCGAGTTGACCTCGGGGAGGCCCAGGACGAGTTCAGATATTCGTCACTGAATTTGAGTCGCCAGGTTTTTGGAGCGCAGTGCGCTAACCACTGCGCCACCGCTCCCCGCACACACACACACCCGTGTCTGTGAACCCACACACATATGCGCGTGCACCTCTTTGATAACGCAAGCAGAAACACTTCTGTAGATAACAATGAGCCACCCGCGGCGATTCGATCGCCAAACAGGTACCACTCTTCCTTGGTGGGCGTCTCATTCGCATCGCCCCCCACCCCTCCTCATCATCCGTCTCCGCGTGGCTCCACAGCACCGCCCGCGCCGGAGTCACCGATGCTCCCGCCCGTTCGATCACCGGTTCGTACCGGTCACCTCTTCGTACCGGTTCGTGCCGGTTACCGACTCGTCGTGGCGAGCGTAGTGGCGCCCCCTCTGGTTGCGGCAGGGGTCAGGTGACCCCATCGCACGGGGCATACGAAGCGAGACGGTGAATTCTGGCGCAGCGCGTGGGAATCAGGATTGAGCACGATGGAGGGGGACCGGTGCAGTCACGCACGCACGCACGCGCGCTCGTACATACACACACACGCACGCTCGTGCATACACACACACGCACGCTCGTGCATACACACACACGCACGCTCGTGCATACACACACACACACGCGCGCGCATAGACACACACGCGCGCGCTCGTGCATACACACGCACACACACGCGCATAGACACACACACACGTGCATAGACACACACGCACGCGCATAGACACACACGCATGCGCATAGACACACACGCACGCGCGCGGACGCACCCTCGTACTCGAGCCATCGCCAGTAATTCAACGTTCCGTGGGACGGCCGCCGTTCACTTCCACGCAAAGTGCGACTCACTTTATCGACCACGCAGGGATGATGGGCCGAGTCAATCCCGCCAAGCACAAGCAGGAGTTGAACTCGCGACCTAGATCACGGCTGATGACAATGATGATGCAAGCTGTCTACGTGGCTCGCACCAACATCAGACCTGTGAAGTGCGTCCTGCTATGATGATGCCGAGGTCTGACCATGTCGCTACAGGAGTCGGCTCGCATCCATGCGAAGCGCAAACTCCAGGCTCACGGGATTCCCTCGTTATTCACCAACTCGCTGTCTGGGAATCACATCTGGAACGCTACACGATGAGAGACAGAGAGAGAGGAGACGAGAGAGAAAGCGACGAGAGATAAAGTGATGAGAGACAAATAGACGAGAAAGATAGAGAGAGAGGACTTCTCTAAGCACCTGCAGACGTTGCGTGTGTACAATATTGGTAGAGCCAACGTCACTATCCGTGACATTTGCTCTTCACGAGCGTTCTCCGGAGCGTATCCTTCACCGTGTATAACGAGGCAATGCTGGACTTTCAATTTCAGTTTAACACGCAGCAGCAGGCTTTCGTCACCAATATTATCCATAAGAGGTTTTTTGCGTTAGATCTCGTAAATATGAATGTGTTCTTCACCTGAGGAGGGCTGCTTGCATTGTGGCCGAAACGTCATGAGAATTGTATTTTATTATGTTTTATTTTTATTATTTTATTATTTCCCTTCTACGTGACTTTATGAATGTGTCGTTAAACCCGCCACCAGCCCGACACAGTCAATTAGTAAGGTTTGTCACGTAACCAAAACGTGCCAATTCGCTACTAGTACAGCACACAGCGGTTGTGTGTTGAAGACTACAGGGGACTCCTCTACTTACCAACGAGTTAGGTTCCATATGTCTGTTCGTAAGTCCAACTTTACTCCTGTCGATTCCAAACGTGTTGTACGGCATGTACACTAAACACGGGGAATGGATTTAAAAGTTGTATAATCTACTGTAGATGTAGATGCCACTGGTTCTTCACGTTCTGCAGATGTAGATGCCACTGCTTCTTCACGTTCTGCAGATGCAGATGCCACTGGCTCTTCACGTTCTGTAGATGTAGGTGCCACTGGTTCTTCACGTTCTGCAGATGTAGATGCCACTGGCTCTTCACGTTCTGTAGATGTAGATGTCACTGGTTCTTAATCTTCTGCAGATGTAGATGCCACTGCTTCTTCACGTTCTGCAGATGTAGATGCCACTTGCTCTTCCCGTTCTGCAGATGTAGATACCACTGGCTCTTCACGTTCTGTAGATGTAGATGCCACTGGTTCTTCACGTTCTGCGGATGTAGATGCCACTGCTTTTTCATGTTCTGCAGATGTAGATGCCACTGGTTCTTCACGTTCTGTAGATGTAGGTGCCACTGGTTCTTCACATTCTGTAGATGTAGATGCCACTGGTTCTTCACGTTCTGCGGATGTAGATTCCACTGGTTCTTCACGTTCTGCGGATGTAGATGCCACTGCTTCTTCTCGTTCTGCGGATGTAGATGCCACTGCTTTTTCATGTTCTGCAGATGTAGATGCCACTGGTTCTTCACGTTCTGTAGATGTAGATTCCACTGGTTCTTCACGTTCTGCGGATGTAGATGCCACTGTTTCTTCTCGTTCTGTAGATGTAGATGCCACTGGTTCTTCACGTTCTGCGGATGTAGATGCCACTGCTTTTTCATGTTCTGCAGATGTAGATGCCACTGGTTCTTCACGTTCTGTAGATGTAGATGCCACTGGTTCTTCACGTTCTGCGGATGTAGATGCCACTGCTTTTTCATGTTCAGCAGATGTAGATGCCACTGGTTCTTCACGTTCTGTAGATGTAGATGCCACTGCTTCTTCTCGTTCTGTAGATGTAGGTGCCACTGGTTCTTCATGTTCTGTAGATGTCACCACCGGCATCTATTGCACGGTGGATGAACTTACGACTCTTGGTCCAAACAGGCAACTGGACATACGGACATGTTTGTTCGTATCTCTGGAAGTTTGTAAGTGGAATGTTGGTAATTAGAGGAGCCCCTGTAAATCCACTACATTTACATTTCGAGTACCGTGATGTCTGGCCGGTAGTTACAACAACAACCAGCATCATAGGGTGACAGCCAGAAGCGTGAACAAGTCCTCCTGTTTTGGTCTCAAACAAAGGACATTGTGATAATCAGGTGGATGGCTTCACTATTCTGGCAAATCGCCCTAAGATGCTGGATGTAATTTCCAGTGTAACGTCGCACTCAAATTGTAAATGTTGTGAATTCACTCTTCAACACACCGGTGGGCTAAAGTAGTGAACTATTTGTCTTTTGTCAACGTGACACTTTTTTTACTGATTGGCCGTGTCGGGTGGCGGAGGGTTGCGACACATTTATAAATAACGCGATCTAACCCAAAAACCTTGATTATGAATAATGCTGGTCGTGAAAGGCTACGTGTTAAACTGTGATTATCAGAGCAGCAAAACTGGCTGAGTTGAAACAGGGGAAGCCCAAGATGGGTTCAAATATTTGTCGCTGGTGTTGGCCGTGAGCAGGAATAGAACTCAGGGCAGAGTAGCGCGGTGGGCTAACCTCTACGCCTTCCTCTTCCCGACAAAGACGACCCGTTTAGCCTTAACAGATTGTTGGGGCAAGTGCTGTTAAGCGAGCGCCTATTAAGGCCGGCACGGCACACGAAGGGGTGGGTGGCCAGCACCACGGACGGGCCGCTTTTGTCTCC